TCTTTAGCAGATGGCTCGTTCACCAGCAGGTATTTTGAGAAGCTGCTGCCTCGACATCTTCCTCGAGAGAGAAGGAACAGTTTAGCACTGGAGGGAAATCTAAATGCACTTGCAAGTTATTCTCTGACTCTTCAGTAGCTCACACTAAAGGAATGCAACTGTAATTGCTTGGGTTCCCAAACTACAGCAGGATTTTCTTTATGAGTGGAGTGTGTCCCTCTCTCACTTTCCCTGTCCGTTCCTTGTAAAGGATAAAAGAAATAAAAGCAGTGAGTGGGGACCTCCCAGATCCAGGTGGAGCAATACTTCCACTTGCTCTGAGTCCTTTCTCCAGGCAGCTTCCCCTCACACAAACTTCAGTGACAGAACACAACGTGCCAGGTGACGTGCAGGGTTTGGGTGGATTCCCTGCCTGTGACACCACTCCCCAGCAAGCCCAGGGAGTTGGCCTGTCCTGCCCCATTCTCTTGGGGAGGGGAGAGGCAGCAAAACCTTCCCCTGCTCTCAGATTCACCAATTTACACATTTTTCCATAGAGAAAGGAGAACAAAGGGAAGAAGTTTTGCAGAGAACGTTTTTTGCCTCCTCTGATTGCAGCCTCATTGTCCGTCAGGGTTCAGTGGCATTCAGTCGGTATCTCCCCAAAATAACTCCTGAGCACAAGGTAAGGTTAAGGCAAGTTAAAGTCCCCTCCAAAATTTCTCAACATTCAACTGCAGCATCATCCACAGAAACACAGCTCAGCTAAAACAGTGGCAAAGAGCCAGGATGTTCAGCAAGCCTGAAGCAGAGGGCACAGCCACCCAAAGATGAAAAGCATCTGGGAGGTGACATCCTGCAGATGACTCCAGGAAAGCACTGCAGCTCTAAAAGGCAGAGGAGAAACCACATTTCCAAACTGCAAACCTCGAGGTGTTCAAACCCACACCACAACCATCCACTCCCCCCATGGAAGGGCTGGGGGAACACCAAGCTTGTTCACACGGACACAATGTGCTGATCACACTGATCTGCACCACTTTGCACTGGCAGATAGGAGAGGAGACCCACGATCCAGCAGAGCATCCTGCACCACCAGCTCCCATTCCTGAGTGGAAAGTTTAGTGACTTTTCTTGAATATCTTTCCCCACCCCCTCAAAAACCCCACAAAACCCAGGATTCAGCCTGTAGCACCCTTTCCTCCTGAAACCAGAGGCTTCAGCAGGAGTGCAGGGATTTTGCCAGCAGTTATGCAAAACTTTTGCAGGTACTGGATCACCCAAATATTTGCCTATAAGGCATGGGAAGAAAAAAGGCACATTGAGCTGTGATGTGCTGGCAAATGGTTTTAAGCAATAAAACAAACCACAGGTAGGTGCTTTCCTCACAAGAAGCCATTTCCATCTGCCCTACTTTGGATGTGGTAAATGTGCTGAAGGTGACTACAAACCCTTAGGCACCATTGCCACGGGCTGGGGTGCCCCAGCACTGGAACACCAGAGCCTTCACTGACAAGGACAGGGCACCTTATCTGCAGCTCTTGCTGTTGTGCAAGAGAAAAGGGAGTTAGTGACTGTAGGGAACATATTTCTTCCTTAAAGTATCTCCTTGGAACACCTGAGAGTGGCTTAAAGCACAGGTCAAGAAGTCCAAGTGGTTATTACCTTGAAGGGATGAGACCTGAAAGGCTCCAAGGATGAGAAATGCCAACTATTGTGATTACCACAAACTGATCTTAAAACAGATACCACGAGAGAGAGAAAAGGATGGGCACAGCCTTCAAAGGACAGTCATTTTTCACTGCCTATCAGCAACAGTTCAATTACAGCACTGTCTCCCTGTGTGCTATAATTACACTTTCAGCTGGGCTCACAGGCAAGTATTGCTCAAAACTAGTTTCCATTGGAGTGGAAGTGAGTGACTCCCACGCTGCCAGTCAGATGTGGCACTGGATGGGGACACCTGAGTCATGCTGTGGGGGCAGGGAACTCCATGATCCTGAAGGTGCCTTCCAACCCAAACCATTCTATGACCTTCTAAATCAAATGAATTAAAACCATAAAATTATACACTTGCATGCACATCTTGAACACTTCTTTTAGTGTCAGCCTTGATGCAAGGCCTGGATCCAGTGGCAATTACTTTACCAATCAGAGCACTCAGATTGCCCAGATACAAAATTATCCTTCACATTCAGGAATTAATAATGTACTTCTGAAGAAGCAGCAAGGGAAAGGCCTGGGGCAGAAGGCTGGCCAGCACACAGAGCACATATGTGGAGGTTGTGGGTCAGTCTGGTAAACAAACATGAAGCACCTGAGTGACATTGCAGAGGAAGGACCACAACACCCATCCCAGCAGACTTTTGTTCTGCTGAACAGAAACAACCACAAACAGCTGCTGTTTCCTACCAAGATGGCCAGCAGATCTGCAGAGCCTTAAAAAGGCAACCCATGCTGTTAAACACCCCCTTACCACCCTTCTGGCTGCAGGAACTCCACAAGTGCCAACCCACTTCCCAAACAACCCAAACGCTCCAGAAAAGGAGACAATGTATTCACAGAAACGGGGCACCTAGAAAATGACAGGACATCTCTTTAACTCTGGTTATTGTATCAAAGTTCAGTGATTTTACCCAAGTCATCCCTAAACTACCATGTTTGCACCAGAACAAATGCTTGTTTCCCACTGTACTGCTCTCTTCCCACAGACCCTTCCCCACACTGCTCCTCGCTGCCTCCCCATGCAATACTTGGCATTCCCTGACGTTTTTGGTGCTCTTTGAAGCTCAGGATTTCACTAATTCATTTCTATGCTTTATTTCTTCTAAGAATTCCTTTGTGAAGTCTGCTCAGCCTTGGGAAGTAACACTGCAGTAGTGTGTGACTTTGAAGAGGGAGCTGAAGTGTGAAATGGGAGAAAGGCTGCCCACAGGTGTGGTCACCCCAGAGCAGAAAGGAGCTGGAGAACAGAGCTCAGAGAGAGATGGGGAGCAACCTCCTGGCCTAGAAGCTGCTTTCCATTCAGGAAGATGACAACTAATTTCTCCACTCTGGTTCAATTAATTACTATCACACTCCCCATGGGATTAAGTAGAGTTTAGACCAAGAGGTTTTCTGCCAAGAGTTCAGCAGTAGGTGGGGTGGGGGCTGCAGTGCCACAGCCAGGTTGTGTCCCTGGGCTCCATCATCCCTAGAGCCCATGTCACAGAATCCCAAAGGCGTCAGGTTGGAAGGGACCCCAGTGGGTCACTGGTGCCACCTCCCTGCTCAGGCAGGGCCAGCCCAGAGCACAGGGCACAGGATTGTGTCCAGAGGGAGGAGACTCCAGCCCCTCCCTGGGCAGCCTGTTCAGAGCTGGGTCACTGCCCAGGGAAGAAGTTCTTCCTCCTGTCCAGCTGGAGCTTCCTGGGCATCAGTTCCTGCCCGTTCCTCCTGTGCCATTGCTGGGCCCCCCGAGCAGAGCCTGGGCCATCCTCTGCCCCCTCCCTGCAGCCCCTCCCACACGGTGGGAGGGCCCCTCTCAGGGTCTCCTCTCTGACATTTTCCTCCATCTTCAAGGAACTCACCAACCCCTTCCACACCCATCTCCCCAGCAAGCCATCCTTCCCCCAGGATGTCACATCCCGACGTGCCTGCTGCCCTGCCACCCCCTCTGGGACTCTTTTCCTTGCTCCTCCTGAAACCCAGCTACAAACAGTTTTGAGCCTGGGATATCTTTATTATGCACTGTGACCACCATGGAAGTTCTCCAGAGCATCCTCCTCTAGTCCATGGGAGTCTTCTCTTCTGGGGCAAAGACAACAGTTCCTGCAGGTGCTTGGCACGACCTTGGGAACAGGCCAGGCCAGGCTGGGACTCAGCTCAAACAGTCAAATATAAAAATAACATCTGCACCCATCCTCCACGGATTTTGTAACAGGGCTTCCAACCCTTGGATCCCAGACCACATCCCCTTCACATTCTTTAGCCAGGACACACACACATATTTCTGTTACAAGGAGCAGTCTCAGATTCTCAAAGCCAAGTATTCTATTAATTTGAATTGGGACTAGTTGAGTTAAATTGATTTTTTTAATGCGTTTATCCTCTACAGAGACTTTTTTTTTTCTTCTTAAATGCTGATTTGCTGAAACTGTGCCTATCCAATACTCATTACTGAAATGCATGGAAAGCTGCCAAAAGAAGCGATGCCTTCTGGACTAAACAAGGGATTTATTACTGTGAAACCACAGCATAGGGTAAAAATCCATCACAAACTTATTGATTTAAACTGATTGTAAGTAATCACACACAATTTATATTAAGTGAAACATACTGCCATCTAATTCAGAGTAAGTGAACGGAATGTTACTGCTCTGAATTCTCTTTAAACCCAAACTCTAATTGATATCCAAATAGAAATAATTGAGACTTTCAGAAAACATGAATAAAATATTTTGTTATCTCGGTTTATTACGTATTGATAGATCATTTTTACCTATTTAAGAACAGTTAGACAGTAATTATAGTATTATATTTCATCAGAGATTTACATGTAAGCCTGAGGGCAAGTTAAATGAAATTGGACAAGTACTGTGCCTACAGCGTGGAGAAAAGGATTGGATGTGTAGGATGCAGTTTAAATAACTTTATCTTGCTCCTAATACAGAAGCCTCAAACTCTGCCTCCATTCCACCCCAAATATGATGAAATAAAGTTGTGCATTTCACTAAAACATGCTTGTCTCACCTCCAGAAGCAGCATTTTAAGATAAAAATTATCACTGTGGCATCAAATCTTCCCTCCCTCCCTTCCCATTCAGGGAATTGTCAGTCTCCTCTGGTATGTCACAGAATGGGATCCCAACCCTCAGCAATACTAGTCAGCCCTGTAGCCAATTCTATTTCTAAATAAATGTTTGAAGGTATTTGCTGTTCTTTTAAACTGTCCGTGTGTAAACACTGACAGGAATTGAAAAAGTAAAAATTCAATCTTGATCAGAATGTTCTCTGCTATACTCAGAAATTCAGCTATTAATATTTAAGGATGTTAAGAACATATTACTTTTTATTAATAAAATCAATTACTTGCAGGAGCACAGAGTGTGCCACCATTTCAGCAGCCCATTGGCTCCTTGAAGCTGCCAGAGAGCAGGAGCCCACCTCAAACCTCTCCCTGTGGAACCTCCTCTCAGGTCATTTTTAGTTACAGACTGACACACCATTTCTCAACAGGAGCATTTCTGAGCCAGATCATAACATGATCAACATCCAGGACTGACTGGGAACATTTCTGGTGCAGGTTGGGTTCAGCCACCCATTTGCAGGAAGGTGCATTTCAAGGTAACGTGATGTTAAAAAGCATAAATAAGGATTATTTATGCTTTATTTATTTATTGTTGATTTTTGTTGCTTTATTTCTGATGGCTTTCTGATACTGAAATGCTTTAAGCACTGCTCTAATCCACGTTGCACTCATGAGTTTGAATCCAGTCATGTAAAGAGCTGGTCTAAGTGAACAGTTGCCTATAACCAGCCTCATTATCACTCAATTAAGTCCATTTGCAGAGTGCATTGCAGAACTGGCCCCTCAGGAATTTCTTATGTTCCTGGAGCTTATTAAATTGCTAGATATCTTCAACAAGGCAACAGCTCTGCATCCAAACCATCATTTATTCCTATTTGCCTGGTTAGCACTAGCCACCTGTTAGCTCTTATTTTTGCACAACTGGACACTTCCATTCCTATAAAACTTTCCCCATTTTCATAATAATCTGGCTTTTAACACCAATCCCCTGACCAAACAGTGCAAAACTCTGTTTTTCAGCTGCTCTGACATGAAGTAATAGCCCACTGTCATGGACAATGTTGTACCAGAGGACATTCATGCTCCTCAGGTAATTGCCAAGCATGACTTCAGTTCTACAGAAGCTATTATGAGAAATAAAACCTAATTTGCAAGCTCTGTTTTTTAAAACAAATTTATTCACTGCACAGCAACCTGTTTAGCAAAGCCTTTTTCCTGTCCTGTGATGTGGGTGCTGCCAGGCCTGTTTCTACACAAATCATGAACACCTGCCTGACCTCTCCACCCAAAAGTAGATCCACTGGCTCCAGGTGGCAGAGATGGTCTGATGTGCTTGCTTGTCTTGCAAAGCATTTACGTCACAAAGTCAGAAGAATGGTACGTTACTGAATCACAGAATGCCTCCAGTTTTAAGGAACCCACAAGGATCAACAAGTCCAATTCCCCTCTCCTTGCAGGACTACCAAAAACTAAACCTTGTGACAAAGAGTGTCCTCCAGATGCTCCTTGAACTGTCACGCTTGGTGCCATGAGCACTGCTCTGGGGAGCCTGTTCCAGGGACCAACCACCCTCCCAGAGAAGAGCCTTGTCCTAATGTCCAACCTGAACTTCCTCTGGCAGCTTCACTCCGTTCCCTCGTGTCCTGTCCTGGTCAGAGGGAGGAGATCAGCACCTCCCCTCAAGGAAGGTGCAGCTGCCAGGAGATCCCCTCAGCCTCCTCTTGTCCAGGCTGAACAAGACAAGGCACCTCAGCCACTCCTTGTAAGTCTTGACCTAAATTAACTTACACTCCCATTCCAGGAGCCTTGCTGCTGTTTGGAGACAGAATCCCAGACTGAACACACATTTGTTTGCAGTCCCAGGGCTGGGCCTCCCAAAAACTGCTGTCAGCTACTGCACTGTTCCTTCAGAGAAGTGAGAAGAATTAGCAAGTTAGAGTAGTGATAAGTAATTCTTTTCTCTGAGGGGGAAATGCATTTCTTTATTAATAAATAGAAGTAAAACTTCAGTCAGAGATAACCTGTCACAACAGAAAGAAGTGAAAAAGGTTTATTTTCTCAAGGAATAGCTAAGGTTGAGCAGGTACTATGTCAGAAAGATTTTAGGCATCGGCAAGGTACAACCAGCAATTTTTCTGCTGTGTTTCCCCCTCCCCTCTCAGCAGTGATTCTGAAGCACATAACCAAATTCTTAGCCAATGTAATGTCAAATAGCACAAAAAACCCCACTCCCTCACAATCACATCTTCCTTTGGTATCCCTGTGACAGCATTCCCACTCCTCGTGTTTACAGCCCGTTACTTCCTGATGGTTGTCCTCTCCTTGCTTTGGATCTCAGAAAAGTGAAATGTTGATATTGAAAGAGAAATTCATCTGTGTGATGAGTAGTTATCCAGCATAGAAGCTGTCAAACCATGGAAGTGTCTTACAACTGCCATAGAATAATGAAAATATTCTTTAAAACTGTGACAACTGCAAAGTGAGACAGAAAATGAAGCTGCCTACACCTGGAGACTGCTCTCCCCTGTGTGAGCACATCAGCCTCTGCTCTGGACTGCACAGCAGGTTTCATGGAATCACAGAATCCTCTGAGTTGGAAGGGACCCACGAGGATCATCGAGTCCAACTCTTCCATGACAGGCCTGGACAGGGATTAAACCCACAACCTTGGTGTTATTATCACCGTGCTGTAACCAAGGGACAAACAGACCATTCTGCTTCCCGTTTCCCCTCTGCCAAAACAAGGCATTGTTGCAGTCCTGTTTTGGAGGAGATGGGAGATCTGCCAGGATCCCAAGGGCAAGCAGCTCCTTGCAAAGGATCAGCCTTGGTGTGGGGCAGGATGGCTGATGGAGCCTCACCATGGTCAGGGGCACCCATAGACAAGCAAAGGCAGCTCAGGCGGGAGGAAGTCTCAGCTCACTTGAGGAGAAGCTGAGGAAAACCCCTGGCCAGTGCAGAGCACAATTCCAGCCTTTCAGAGAATGTAGTCTACATAATGAATGTGGTTTTTCAGGAGTCAAAATAAAGATGGACATGAAGCTTCAAACTCTGCAGAGTCCATAGTACCTGAACCTGCACCCTGACTGTCACACAGCAAAGCACTTGCTTTACACAGAGGATCACAAAGATTCTGTTTGCCACAGTTCCTGAAAAGCTGCTCATTTCAGTGAATCAGACTTTGTCTCATTGAAAACATTTCTTGACTCTATGAAAAGCTGAAGATTTATATGCTTTAGACACTTAGGTAGAGATTTCCACAGGTCACCAGGGAACTGGGATGTTGAGCTCTTGCCAGAAGTCTGAACATTGAAGAGTGAGTACAGGCAAGCAAATATTCGAGGTATTTAACCTCCTCCAAAGGTACCAAGGCTAAGCACCCAGGTGACTAACCACCTGCAGAAACACAAGCTCCAGATTTTGGGAGGTCATTTCTGTCAGCATGGAGCAGCCATTAGGAGATGTGGGAAATCCAACACCTTTGCCTCAGCCTTCAGTGCTCCTGAAGGGGCCTGCAGGGCAGAGCATCAGTGGCTTCAGGGCTGTTAATCATTGCTGTGGTTTTATATGAAGTCCAAGTGCAAAGGTGGGGCAGGGGGGACATTTAGCAGGGCTGCTTTGAGGGCAGAGAAATATGAGATTACAGTTAAGAGTGGAAGATTGGTATTATCAAATCAATACCCTACAATAAATATAATGTGTTGATCCAATTAGCTGAGTGGAGCAAGATGAATCTGGGGGCTATTGGTGAAACAGGAAAATTGCAAGAGGCTAAAATTAAATGCACCCAAAAGAGAGGGGCAATGGAAATAATACTCTAAAACGATGAGCTTGGGTGACTCTGTGCAGTTTGAAAATTTAAGCTGAGTACAGAGGTCATCATGGAATTTTTGGAGCTTTTATTCCAGAGGCTGAACAGAGACAAGTTCTTCCACAAGTGAAAACACAACAATGTCAAAATTCTGCAGACGAAGCTTGTTAAACTGTTTGCTAAATACCTTTGCACTGTAACACATTGAAAAGAAAGAGAAGTATCACTGTAATGATGTAGCTGCTTGCAGAGCTCGTTAACTCGTCCCACAGCCCCCTGTCCTCAGTGAACTCAGCAGCCAGATTTAGCAGGAGCTGGGGAAATAACGGGGAGGAGGCAGGAGCTATGGAAATATCAGGGAGGAGGCAGCAGTCAGGCTAAGAAAAGAACTGGCAGCCGAGGAAGGACAGGTATTTCAGACAGTTCCCAACACTTAAAGAACTCAGCTCTCAGTCTGTGGGTGTGTTTGCTCAGCATCTCGACTCAGTGGCCATTCCACACAACAGCAAAGCAATAATTCCAACTAAGCACACCAGGAAAACTTCTCTCCCTGAATGTTTAAGGAGCAGCTAATGGAGACTGACTTATGCATGCATTTATTAAAATTCTCTCAGCACCGAGCAGTTCAGCTTTTAAGTTTCATGTGCAGCTTGAAAGCCAGGCAGAAGCCAAACCGTTTGGAAGAACAGCATCTCTTCAGAGGATTAGGAATTAAGTAAACTGCACATTAGAGATAAAATAGGGGAGTGCTTGTCTTTATTCTTAATAATAAACCACAAGGCATTGAGCTACACAGCATGATTAGCTCCTTTCAACTCCTCACTACTACTGCTGAGACAGCAATGTGGCAGTTTCACCGAAACATTAAAGAATACGGAGCGATTAAGTTAAAATTAAGTGAATTTAGGGCAGGCAGAAATGCTACATTGCAACCCAGAAGGGATAAGTCTTTTGTTTGGGTAAAGAGCAGCTTAAGCTCTAGTAGTGTTAGAATGGATTCCTGGAAAACAGGAGTTATTCATGGTTTGAAACGACCAGCTCTGGGGCTGGACATGTTATTCTGCATCTCTCCTCTCCTTCCTGAGTCACCTGGGTACTTGGTCTCTAAAACATCAGCCCTGCAGTGGTGCCTGCCAGGCTGGGGAAAAGGATGAATTTGGGGAACCACAGCTGAGGGCTCATCCCCTCCTCCTTCAGCAGCTCCATACAGTCCTGAACTTCATGTTTCTGTGACTGGATTCCTCATTTATAAACTGCTCTTACAAACATGACAAAAATACAAAACAACCCCAGACAACCGAAGAACAGTTAAGTCTGTGAGATACAGAGATACTAAACAACCAGGGGCCATTTGGACCATTAAACAATCAGCTCAACACATACAAGACATCAGCAAAACCCATGACTGACCAGACTCCTGGGAATGAAAACAGTCTCCACAAGATGGACAGAGGTCTGTCTTCACTGTGGACCTGCAAGTATTCAGCTCCTCTCTATGGTTTAGTGAGATACTAAATTTATCCTGCTGTACCCTGACCTTGTTTAGGATGACTGGAGTAAGAGAAGGAACAGATCAAACCTCCCAGCCCTGCTCCCTCCAAACTTCAGCTGCAGCCTATGAACCCGCACACTTTGTCCCTTACTGTCACCTTCCACCTGTGGGAGAAGCTCACCTGAAAGCTGTTGGTTTGAGTATCTACCAAATCCTACCCTAAAGTGCTTCTTCACTGCCTGAAAAAACTGGGCAATACATAAACCACTAAAAACACTTTGGCACCAAAGCCCATCCCGTTAAGGCAAAGCTGTTTCCTTGTCTTTGCACAGTCTTGGTTGGGCCATTCCAGGTTAGGGAGCCACCTTTTCCTGCCTTACAGAGCCTGGCACAGGTGACTCGGACCCAAAACTAAGCAAGTCTAAACAAGCAAACACATGCCTTAGCCCAGTGAGCAGCTGGAGCTCTGTGGTGGCCTTTAGGCACTGCCCAAACCAGGGCTGAGTGCCACGAGCACACGTTCAGTGTGCCAGGATGGGCCCTGAGGTGGCTGCCATCAAAGCACATGAGGCAGAATTAGAGCTGCTGAAAGTCTTCCAGGAAAACACTGGAAAAAGGCAATGAATCAAAATGAAAATGCCTCCTGCAATGGACTCTCTTCCGACAACAGGGGCCAGTTCCCCACGGACTCTCTTAGGCTGCAGGGATTTCACAACATCTCAGGCAGAGCAGACACATAAATCACCTGAAAGGGCTTTTGGTTTAACTCTACAGCACCAGCAGTGTTTGGAAACTTGTGTCTACCAAAGCTGGCAGAGCTTCCAGATTTGTGGATTCTGCTCCCCTCAGGGAAAATATGAGAAGGGAGCCTTTGGTCAGATTTCAAAGGAAAATATCTTCAGTCTTTGGGTTCCTCTGGACTGATACGTGTCAGCATTTTGAGAACCTGAAAGTCTGATTACTGCAAAGACCCAGTTATTGGCTTGGCTTGCTCTGGAATATGCCCTGGGATTCACAGAGAGCCTGAACTCTGCTTCCTGAAGCTGGCATGGTCCCAGGTCCCTGTCTGCCCTGTGGCAAACCACCCCAGGCTGTGGCTGTGCTGGGGCATTAGAAACCATTACTTCATCCTGGGTAAACATTTTAAAACAACACTTCCTGTTTTGTCTTTTAAAGTTATCAGGAGAGTTTCATTCTCCATCCAGAAGAATGACTTCTCTTGTTTACTGATTTCATAGATCTACAGGATGGAGATATAATACAATGGATAATATACACAGAGAAGTTTGGAATACTAAGCTCATTTTGATCTTGGGTAAACTATGTAAACCTGAGAGTCTCTTACTGAGCTGCAGAGGCAACAAGAGCTCCACAACCCCAGCCTGGTGGCTGTTTATCTTTACTAAACCAACCAAAATAGGTGATTTTGCCCCAACTCTTGCAGTTTCAGGAACTCCTGGGATTCCTCTGATGCTCAGCAGTGAGTTTATTACCTTCAGCAGGTCTTCAGTTACCTACAGGAAGATTCACAAGCATCATCAGCCTTTCCAACACTTGCTGATTCAGAAATGCACAAAAAAACCCTTTTTATTTTGCAACTGAATTTCCATTAATTTCCATTTAGACCTCCTGTTTATCTCCCAGTTAGACCATCCTCTGTCCCTTGCTCCAAAGCAGAAATATCCCCACACAAGATCCTCCCCCAGGCTAATGTTCAGGCGCTGGTTTTATACCCACCAGATATTTCAGAGGTGCTAACTCTGTATTTGCCTTCCAGATAATCCATCTGAACTTCCTGAAGTCAACCACCTGCCAAAAAAACATAAGATAATAGCAAGCCAATCTTCCTTTATAGAGCCAAAACTCTAATCTTGTATTCTAGACAAAAGAAAATCCTACTATTTTACACTTAATCATCACATTTTGTCTTTTGTCCCCCACAATATATATATTTGTGAGGGTCTTTTGCTGTCTTGATGAGTTAAGTGAGAGATTTCACTAATGGGATGCAATTTCACTGATGGGATGCATTTAAAAAGAAAATCAAAAGCAAGACTCACCAACAGGTGTGGTGTTGCAGAGCTGTCTTCTTATTTTTCAGCTGGATTCCCAGGTTCAGCAAAGTGCTGTGTTCACACATCAACATGCAGCAGGTATTTTGGAAGTCAAATTCAAGGACATTCATGGTTTAGCCTTTTGGTGACAGGCAAATTCAGTCCTGCACATTTGGGGAGAAACTTGTCAAAGGTACAGGCACAAAAACAAGGTCCAGTTTGATCCCACAGATTCCAGAATTTCGTAGAAACTCATGTAGATTATCAGTTAGTCAGAGATCCACCCACTCTATGCTAGATTTGCTGCAAATAGACTGTTCCCTGTTTCATCAAGCAGTCATGGTGCCATTCAGAGCACAGTTTGCTCAGCCAAAGCTGTGGAGACAGGGAACAGGTTCATGGAGTTCAGAATTAGCAGTGATATAAAGCTATTGCAGTCATTACAGAACAATTCTTAAAATCCAATGCCCACATTGATTGTAGTCTCTCCAAATTCAAGCCAACCCAAAGATAAAACTAAATAATCTGCCAGAATAGACTTACTGCATTGCTAATGGGTATTAGAAAATGTAACTGCAGGAACAAAAAAGGAATAAAACAAAAAGACCACGATGAAACCTCTCTTATAGAATTCCTAATAACAGATATAAAAGTTCTTTACAAGAGACAAGGCAGGAGGGAAGGGTAGGGAGAAAAGCATCACTTATCACAGTGAAAAAACAAAGGCACAGATTCTTAATATTCATCTTAAGACTACCCAGCAGGCTGGAACAGAAATCAAACCTGAAGCCTCAGTCCTTTGCTTTGAAATACAATTGTAAAACGTGCAGTCGTCTGAAGAAACATGCTACAGAACAACACACACTTAATTTACCTCCACACAACTGGAGTGAGAGCAAATTTTATGTCTAATTCTACACAGTCTGGCTTCATCCTCACATTACCAGAGCTCAGGAGTCCCCCTGTCACACCAAACCTATACGATGCTGGTGTGAGCACAATTCAAAATCCTCGAGATCCTCGTTCTCACACCCAAAGTGGAGGACACAGCCCATCCTGTGTGTCCAGCTGTCTGCTCCCACCGTCCTGCTGTCCACCCATCCCAGCCAGGCTGTGCCAGGACGGTGTCCAGGGAAAACAACTAAAGGGTTTCTCTTGCTCCCCAGCATCCTGCCTTCTTTTCAAGTTCAAAGTGAGAAATTACACAGGCTGTTGGGGAAGAGGCAACAAGGTGAATATGGGTGGCAAAAATCTGAAAAGAGAGGAGTTGTTGGGCGTTTCTTTCCCCTCTCTAAACAGGCTTTTATTTCCCTTTAATTCTTACTTTTAACCGGGTTTATGTGGAGCTGCAGGTCACCACATTGACCTTCCCTGGCATTTCTGCTGCTGTTGCCAGTCTGTCCTCCCGAAGGCTGAGGGCACCAGGGACCACGTTCCGAGGAGCTGGCGGAGAAAGCAAAGCGTTTGCTGCCTGCTTTTATGACAAGTAAATGAACACATGCGAACCCCAGTCTGTCGCACCTGCTCCTTTTCCCACTTCATTTTTCCATCACCTCAGGCGACACATGAACTTACAGACAGTACGGTTTTTTTCCCTCAGCCTTTACTTCTAACTTGCTGCGTTCCTCAAGATGTTTCTCAAGATGCCTTTATCAAAATAACTCCCGACCAGACTCTCCCCCCAGCCCCTCAGCTCTAAAATAAGAAGCGGGAGCTGCTGAGATCTGTGCAGAGCTCGAGGCGCGGCCGCCCGAGGGGCGCCGGCTGCCGCCTCTCTGCAGCCCGGCACAAGAGCTGCGGGCAGGGAGGGTCCATTTGGGGGTTAAAAACCCAAACAGCCCCCAGAAGTCGTATTTTTGGCTTTGTGAGAGCTGCTCGAGCCGCAGCCCGCCATCTCCCTCTAGCGCCCGAGCGCGCCGGCCCCGCCGCCATCTTGGCCGGGCTTTCCCTCTCCCACACTGCCCTCTGCAGCTCCACCCCGGGCCGTGCCTCCCGCTGAGGAGAGAAAACATAAAAAACCCATAATAAATATAATATAAAAAGTCCTTCCTTATGTTAGAGAGGGGGTCCTTCCAGTAAGGATGATCAGAGAAGACCCACGGCGTTCCCCGAGATGCCAACACCTTGCAGGCCCGGCCGCCTCAGCGCCAGCGCAGGGTCTTGTGCATCTTGACAAGAATCTCTTGTTTTTTTGCACTAAAACCAAAAAATTGAGGCGTCATCAGATTGCACTAAAGATGCTCAATCAGTTTGCACAAACAGGTCACCATCAGCCGTGTTTCTACCCCTTTCTGGTGCAGGACAGGTGCCCTGGAGAGCTGGGCTGGCCGGCACAGGCGCAGACACACCTGCCCGCCCCGGCTGCATTTTGCTAAAATAGATTCTTCAAAGCAATAGATTAGTACATTACTGTAGCATTCAGTGATGTATTTACTGCTGCAAAGCTCCAGATGCTCTGTAAGCCACAATAATACAGTTAAGTGGAAAATGAGTCATTTAAAACCATAATGACTATCATAGCATGACTCCGCTGACAACAAGCCCCGGCGGTAACGCTGCGAGGTGGATGAGACCTCATCCAGATTGTCAGGGCTGTGGGGCACGTCAAGCTCTGCCTTCAGGGCAGGGCCTGCAGCCCCCCAGCCCTGGTGCTGCCAGGGGAGCACCCCTGATGTTGGGGTGGGGATGGCCGGGGTGCTGAGGTGCCCCTGTGAGCCCCCATCTCCTCAGCACCGCGCTCCACCTCACTGCCGGCATCACGGAAACGCTGTTGTGGCTCCCAGGTGAGAAGAGCTGGGCACCCGGATTTCAGCTGTGAGGATGCAGAGCTCAGTTCTCCTCACCAGCATTCCCAGGTGCCCTGGGAGCAGGTGGCAAGCGGCTGCCACCCTTCCCAAAGGCTCCTGGTCAGACACCCCAGGCTGTGCCCATGGGGACGGATGCGTTTCCAGGTGCTTGCCATGGTTAGTCTGGGGACAGGCAATATGAGGAGGGACATGAAGGCTCCTCCAGCCCCACTGTGGTCCTCAGCCAGGCTAGACAGCAGTGGGGCCATGTGGGGCCATGCCTTGCTGCTCCTCAGGCAGCCCCTTGGGTGAGTCAGGAGAGCGAGCGCAGCATCAGAGAAATCACAGGATCCCAGAATATGCCGAGCTAGGAAGGGACCCACATTGAGACCAATCCTTAGCCCTGCACAGGCCCCTCTGTGCTCCAGAGGATCATCCAAACACTCCTTGAGCTCTGGCAGCCTTGGTGCTGTGCCCACTGCCCTGGGGAGCCCATTCCATGTCGGCTCTCCGCAAAGGCAAATAGGGTAGAAAAGGTAAAAGCAGGGCCAAGCTTTCTGCTGGTATTAAGCAGACAGCTCTGGTGACGGTAAATAAACCATTTTAATTTGTCTTCTTAGGAAATTTGGCATCAGTTTTTTCCCCCATCTCCAAAGGAAGAAATTCTCTTGCTTAGACCTTGGCAATTGTTTCAAAAGCCAGGTAATGGAAAAATCAGATGGATGTGCTCACTAAAGGCAGAGACTTTAAGGAGCTCGTAGAATGGAATCATAGTATATCCTGAGGGAAGGGACCCACAAGGATCACTGAGTCCAACACACACTAACTCACACTGTACATACAATTTGCTATAGAGAAGCATCTTTTATTCCCTTAACACAAGCAATGTGCTTTATTGCTGGACTGTAGCACTGTGCAATTTAAGCCTAACTCTCCAAAATACAATTGCCTTTATCGAGCTGAATGCTCTGGGTATGGACCACTTCCAGTGCCTTGTATTAAATGTGATAAAGCAAGGTCACTCCTTAATCAACCTGACCAGTGCCTGTCACAGCACCGCTGGGATTACTCTCATTTATGCGGGGGACCAGGAGAGCTCCTCACAGATCAGACTCTCATAAAAATAATTTACTGCTACATTCACCTTGCCCAAAACAGCAGAGCCATCCCGTCACCCTGCACACATTTCAGGCTCTCTTGAACTACCCTCTTGTGGTACGGCTGCAGAACGACATCTTCTTCTAACAGCTTAAAATACATCCAGTTCTGCTTCACTTTCTAGGATTAACTGAGACAAAGCTTTCCTTTTGGAGTGCAATAACACCCTTTTTTTTTTTAATCAACGAGCTCCAAATGCATCATGTTTCCACCAAATACACCGAGCTCCCCAAAATAGGGACGACTGAAAATCCCAGGAAGTTTATAGTTCCATTTTTAGTTGTCTGTGAAAGAAAACAAATTTCCAAGCTTTTAATGCAGTTCCTGCTGCATAAGGCACCCCCCTGCCCCCTCAACAGTGATTCAACAGAAACTAGTTAAGGGCTTTGAAGATGCGAAGCAAAAGATACATTTCATAATCATATTGTATATTTGATAGGTAAAGGCTCTATGTAATGAGCTGATTAAGTTCTTGCTTAATTATTTTCTTGTATTGAAACAAAGATAATTGTACCAGGGGTGGGTGGTTCAGTTCCTAGGGCTAAATGCAAGCTTTTTGAGCAGAGAAACATATAAATTCAACCAAGAAAAATGCTGCACTCGAAGTGAGTTTCAATGTTGAGCAATAATGATGATTAAACAAGCCACATTAAGTGCTAAAATACAGTATATCTGCCCTCAGTAATCAGAATGACCACAGGCCTTATCTGCTTGGGTCAATACTCGAGGTACTTGAATTATCAATAAATAAGTAAACCCATTCTTTCCTGGATAAGTTTAACAAATCTAGGGTGCCAGAAGTTGTTAACATGGGTGAGGGTTGAAAGTGCTTTCTAAAAAAAGAAATTCCTCATCTCCTACCACCACTGACTCTGCAATTTACCTGATCCAGGCTCTTTTTTTTGTTCTCAAGTGGCCCGGACAGTATCCTCGTTGCCCTGGGTGACTCCTGGGCTGACTCAGGCACCTGGTATTCCACTGGTGACTCTGAGTTTTGTGTTCCCAACAGCACTTTTCCCATGTATAAAACAGGGATTACCAGCCCAGTAGAAGAAACACCAAATGGCAGCACAAAGGACGTGGGAGACTGTAGGGTGGCACCGTGATTTCATCCCCTGCTCCTGGCTGGATTGAGCTTCATCCCTGATATTGTGCCTGACAGCATGTGAGCATTTTGACAGCTATCAATACCTGTGTTTCCATATGCAGGCAGTGAAGGAATGAGAAGGGGGATATTCTTTATCACCAGGAAATACCTTTTGCTAACATGATTTCAGTTGCAAGATGCCTGTGGAAAAGGAAAGGTGTGTGTCCCCAACACATTGCCAGCTGGGAACTTCCACCTTGCCCTCGGCCACAAGCAGTCCCAGCCCCTCCAGCTGGAGCAGGACACTGGGAGAACAGTGTGCCCTCACCTGTGGCTCTGGTCCTCCTCAGCTGGCACAAATCTGGAGTCTTTTGTAGAGGTTACCATGGCTAATTCACCGAGGCCTTCAGTTTTAATACTGCTGAGGGAGTTTTTTGTATTACAGCAGCACTGGGCAATGCTCACTTGCCCCAGCCAGGGCAGCAAGCACAGTGCAATCACAGAGTGAGAGACAGACTGTCCCCAAAGAGCTTCACTTAAAGAATGGCCAGGATTGGTACTTACAGTGGGAACAAGGAAGCTCTGACAGACTGTAAAGCAGCAGGGGAGGAGGAAGCCCCACCACTCCTTTGCACGCACTTCTCTCAACCAGCAAAGTTAGAGGTTTGTCTTCATCCCGAGTAAAGGCAGAGACACCTTCAAAAGGCAATTCAGCCCGTTTCAGTTGGGATCCTGCTCCAAATCACCTTCTGAAGGTAAGTACAGGTATGCTCACAGCTGGCAGATGGAGTCCAAAGAAAGAAATTGGTTTATCCAGGTGGGACTTAACCGAGTCACTGTGGGAGTAACAAAACCCCTGTGATCTGAGCCTTTGGCCACCGTTTGAACCACAGCTCACTCTTCTTCCTTGCCAGAACCAGAGCAGCAAGCCAAGGAGCTCCTCTGGAAAACAACATGACCACTGGTATGTTACCTTATTCCAGGGGGCTTTCAGCAGGGTCACCTGCACATGTGAAGCAGCAGTTAAAAGTTCAAAGCAGCAAGAATTGTGCTAAAGAATTACTTAACAAGGCACAGCCACAGCAAACGAAAATTTACTTTCAGTGAAGTCCTCCCCTATCTTCCAGTCCAGCAAGGACTACAGTTTTCATGAGCTCATACAGGCAAAGGTAAAAAGGAACAAAAATATAAGATGTCTGTGACTTTTGGGAAAATATTCTGCAGTGTCTATTGCTGCCTGTGATAGATTTAGCTGTCATAGGCCATGAGAGAGAAAAGGGCTGCAAAGATTGCAGCAGTAAGGTCTGCATAGATGAAAACCAGGCTAGAGCAAGGTATTAGTAAGGAAAAACAAAGACAATATAGAAAGTTAAAAAAGAAGGGTCAAAGTATGGCATAAAATGAACATTGTATTGGGAAACAAATGTTAGGAGTGCTTTCAAAGATTCCTCTCCTGTACACTATGGTTGGCATCTCAACTGGTGATAGGAAGATGCTAAGTGGAAAAATAGTTGGAGTGTGGGAAGGTGGGACTTTAAAGCCTAAAGCAAAGTCCTGGGTGCTGTAAGCACAGTAGCTGAGGGCTTTCTAGGATCTAAATCTCACACAACCTACAGAATTAATACCCTTACCACTCATTTCATTCCCACAGATGGTACTTGGTGTGGTCTTTAAATGAACTTCATTTCTTAAAAACTAGTGAATTCAAAAATAGAAGATTTAAGACAAATGTCCTGAAGAGAAAACCCTGCAAAAAAGATCAAATTGTCTATACCTGCAAGTTAACATCCCTGTATCAAACTTCTGAAAAACAAGGAAGGCACCTGAAAAAGTTTAAAAGCATTAAAAAATCTGTTTTCATCTCTTTCTATACCTCTCAGGCATATTCCTCTGAGCATCACCAGCAGTAGAAGACTTGACACACAGATCCTAAATTGGATTGAAATCAAAGGGAGTGAAAGCCTCAATGCTTCCTGGGACTCTGGGAGTGAGGGCTCATTGGCTTAATTGGGAATTAAGGACCAGCAGCAAGAGTTTGCTCAGCACCTGGGAGGACAAAGATCATAGTCTGGACAATGAAGAGCACGTTTCTTCCCCCTGAAGACACCGACAGAGCTGTCAGGGCTCTTCTGAGCCTGGAAGACGATGCTTTCATCAGAACCTCTCTCGTGGGGACCCTCACACTTGCTCCAGTAGTTCCATCCTTCTGTGGCCACCTAGAACTGGTTTCAGTCAGAAACCCAGAAGGCTTTTAATGATGTGCATCCACAAGACTGAGATTATGGTCTAATTAAAATCTAATCCAAGCAGGGTAGTACTATATTTTAAAGAAGCCAAGGATGTGGTCTCCTTTTTGTTCCTTTTTCTCCGGTTACTCTAATAATACTCAAGCTTAGAAAAGCTTGCCGTTTCCCTTCCATTTTTAACAGCTATTCCTTCTGAACAAAACCCCACTGTTGGGAAAAAGGATTTCTTCCCCATGGCAACGCTGGGGTACTCCACACAAAGAAGCACCTAGCAGTTTAGTTCACATTTTTTAATAACATGGCACAATTTACATTACACAAGTCTTCGCTGATGAGGAAACATGCTGAAGATTGAGAGCCGCTTCACTTTGCTTTTCACATAGGATCTAGAAAGGACTTTATTACATACAGGATAAACAGCAAAAAGGTTTGTATATAACAATCTCTTTACAATACTGAAAGCTACCACTACGGTTCCAGTGTACATATTCCTCAGGGTTGGGATTTTTTTTGGGATTTTATCTTTTGTTCTTAAAAAGAAAAGAAAAAAAAAGAAAAAAAAAAGAGAAAAAAAAAAAGAAAAGGAACCACCGCACAACATCTGGAGTTCACAAAATCTGAAGCTCACAACTAAACCTTCAGTTGACTACTAAAATAGATCTCTGATCATTAGAAACAAATGTCTGTAGTTAACTTTTTTCTTTTTTTTTTTTCTTTTTTTTTTTGCCAAAACAGGGTAACAACTTCAGATAGCACTTTAATACACTAGAAGACCAATGGAACTAATTTTATTTCATACATATATTTTACAGTCCAGTAGACAAGATATTGAATTCTCTCTGATAAAGTCATATTCTCTCCAAATATTTAGACAAGAAACTTAATGCATTATAAAAAAGTGTGCTATGAAAAGACAAGATTTCAGAAGATTGATGCATATTTGTAAAAAGGACCATGTTCTTCATGTTATTTCATGGCTTCTGTGATTAGGGAACAACAAGGCTGGCCTGTTAACTCTTCACAGACTTTATTACCAACTGAAATACAATAAATTGCATTATGAAATCTGCAATGGAGTTCATTAATTAAACACTGATCCACAGTGAAAACATATCCATCATTTAGAAAAGTATTCTTGTAGGATTTGTTTCAAGGTAGCTAAAAATCCCATAACACACACAAAAAAAAAAAAAGCGTGTGTACAGATAAAAATGACAGACTGGCAATAAAACCAGACAGGAATGGCTATAAGCAGATGCTCTTCCAGAAAGAAATTTGACATGTTCAGTGACAAAAGTTCTGGAAAAGATCCAGCATTTGATTATTCCTGTTTAACCCAGATGAATGTGACTGAAAACCAGTTGGCCATGACTTCAGTACCGGTGCTTACAGAGCACTGACCCTGCCGCCGTGGAGGCGACACACGAGCTCCAGTGACCTCAGCAGCCTCATGCAGGGCTTCAGACAGAAAACTGCACCTCTAGTGGGCTGCTTCTTCATCAAAACAAGCAAGAGAAATAGGCTCCTATTAGAAATGAGCTTGTTCAGGGAAAATATGACTTTAATTATGTTGTGTGTTGAAAAGGCTCCTTTGAGTTATAAAGGCTTTTGTGAAAAGCCTTAAATTCATTGCATAGTTGAAGGGGTTTAGCTGTCTATAACAATATATGTAACACAGCATAAGCAGACTGTGTTGATCAATATTAAGTTTGCAAATAGCACAGTTTAAGAAGTATTAATGTATTATGTTACTTAATTTTATCTATTTACATTTGTACAAAGTAAAGCTTTCATCTTACCCTTTTTGCATATATGAACCATTAACCCATGAAGCGATCTTTTTACATAAATATCTACAATTGACTTCATTTCTGGTCTGAAAGAGCTTTGTAGGGTTGACATTGGTGGTGGCTTGTTTCTAGTCAAATCACTCAGATTGATGTCTTGTTCTTCAGTTCAAATATTGAAATTCTTAAACTAGAAATAAAATAGAGTAGGAGACACGAGAAACGTATGGACTTGGCTAAAAGATCTGGAAAATCTCAACATATAATATACAAAAAAAACCATTTCAAAATCTTTGCACTCGGGTCTATACATATTGTACAGTGGGTCACATCCCCAGTCTGTAGCAATGACTAGTAAGAAGGTCTTTATATTATGTTCATGTACGTCTTTGTCCTTCTTTCTGTGTTCTTTATTCGGTCTCACTCTGCTTATCGAGCTTCAACGTCCTTGAGGGGGTGAGAGGGGGGCCTCTCCCTCATCTCCGTGGACAGAGGAGTAGTCCTTCTGGGAGACCCGGGCCGAGGTCCCAGCGTGGAAATAAGAGGCGGGGGAGCACTGAGAGCTGCTGTGGGGGGAGTTTTGTTGAGGATGCCGTTCTGGTGTGCCGTGGGGGGGCTGACTCGGGGGTAGTGCATGCTGGGGAGTCCCGGGGTGATGAGGCTGGGGTGGGGCAGGTGCCCGTCCAGGGCGGCCGGGTGCACCGAGTGCAGGCGCGCGTGCTCGTAGTCCTCCCGCAGCATGTGCAGCCGCTCCCGCTCGTCCAGGTGGGTGCCCCGCTCGTGCTCACGCCGAGGGTCGACAGACAGAGGGTGGTGGTGATGGTGGTGGTGGTTGTAGTCGTGAGGCTCCCGATCCCTGAACGACCTGTCTGCTTCGTACAGTCTTGGCGTGGAAAGACGGTGAAGGGGGTCATTCCTTAGCAAAAAGTCTCTGCCCAGGGGGTCTCTCCGATGAATATCCAGCTCTCTGTACGGATCTCTCAAGGGATCCCTCATCGGGTCCCAGTGGAAAGAAGGATAGGGGAAACGTTCTCCACCAGGAATTGGGCTAATTCCCATAAAAGGCGTCATCATGCGAGTCCTATCCAGGCCACTGATGCTGTTCATGTGATGTATTCCAGTTACACCTACAGTCATGGGCATAGACACTAGAGGACTTGGATGGACGTTGGATGTAGATATAGGTGGTGGCTGATCAGATGACCGATGAGTCTGAGGTCCCTCAGGTTGAACATCATGGTCTTCCTTTCGCTCTTCCTTCACTTTGACTTCGTTGCTTTTCTTGGGATTCTCGTACGCCGGCTCGTTCTTCCTCTCGGCCTCGCGGTTTGAGGTGCTGTTGGGCCTGGTGCTCTCCACAACGGGGGGCCTGGCATAGGGGGAAGGAACCCTGGGCATCTGCTTAGACTCTTCCACCACTCGGCTTTCATGGCTCAGGCCTTCTTTCTCTGAAATATAGTTGTCCTTCACCTTGTGCTCTTCAACATTAATTTCCTTCCGGGATTCGGAGTGATCCCTCTCTCGTTCTTTGGGTTTCTCTTTCTCTCGGACCTCGGGGTTCAGATGGCTCCTGATCTGCTCGTTTGAGCTGCGGTTATGTCCGAGGGAATTTACTGGATGGATTGGTGCTGGCGAAGGATGGCTGGAGTGTCTTTTCTCAGTGCTCTCCCTACAAGAAAGAGAAGTGTGAAAATGAAGGCATGACAAGCTCTGCAGATAAAACAAAGCATCAGGTGTCTGGCTCTCTGCTCGTGGCTTTGCAGAGAGTTGGTAACATGCACCATTAATGCACTGTGCCTTTGGCACACCCAAAACACCAGAAGAACATCCCATCTCTAAACTTGGCCTGTTCTATTATCTCATCCCAGGAGAAGAAGATCCCAAAGCTGCTTTACGAATAATCTGATTGAGATCTCAAAGACTGAAGTCTACAGAAGGCTCCCATGGAAATCCAGGTCTGGGACACACATTTCTAAAACAACGGCCTTAAATGTTTGCAAAGAGAGAGAAAAGTAAAAACATACTAATTTCATCCAAAAAAGTGAGATAATTAAATCCAAATTATGTGTTAGTAGTATTTTACCTGCTTCTTCTATTAGGAATACGTTTGGGAAAACAGATGACTTTCAACTGACTTTTAAAAACATTTCTAGACCTATATATGTTTACTCATTTCTCTCCTCTATTCTCTACAAATGTGTAGCTTTTCAATTTATTTCTGACAATTCGATTTATTTCTTCAAACTGAAAACAAAAGCCTCTCAAGAAACCAGTACTGCTGGTGACAACCCACCTCTCTGAACAGGTGGAGACTTCTCTAAGTGTGCAGTGGCCTCAGTGCAAGTGTTTTAACAGAGCTGGCACAGATTGTGTGACCACTTCCTCAGCAGGCAGGGACAGGGCCAATGCTAGGAAGTCTCAAAATACTGTGAATTCATCACTCTTTCAAACCTATTTATGGTGTCCAAAAGATTAGGGAATTATTGCCTGGCAGTGGACAAAAACCTAAATACGGGAATGTTCTGTACCAATTATTTTCAGGAAGCGGTGTTGACCAGGAGTTGTTATGGGCAACACTAAGTGAAAAAGCTTTTCTATTTATAACTAATAAAATTCATAAGGTCAATCTAATCCCTCAGTTCCAAGGATTTTAACCTCCTACTAATTTCAGTTGATCTCTAAGTTAAAGTCTCTCCATGAAGACAGCTCCAGATGCTCAGTGTTGGACACATGCTGTTTGCTGAGCATGGAAATTCTGTTCCATGTGAGAAGGACAATGAGCTGTTAGAGGCAAAAAGTATTATGGCCATAAACTAAACCACAAGAAGTTCCACCTCAACATGAGAGAGACCTTCTCTCTGTTGAGGGTGGCAGAGCACCTGGAACAGCTGCCCAGGGAGGTCTCTCAGGAGACAAAACCCACTGGGATGTGTTCCTGTGTCACCTGCTCCAGATGTCCCTGCTAAGGGGGTTGGACTGTATGATCTCTAGAGGTCCCTCCCAACCCTAATGATTCTGTGACTCTGGGAAAAGTGAGGGGTAAGCAGTGAGGCCCCTCAAGTCCCCACCAGCTCCAGTTTCCATGGTTGCTCTTTGGGTGCTGCTGAACGAGGCGTGCCCTGAACAGGCTGGGCTGAGGACACAGGGTGACATCACTCTGGACAAGATCAGCAGTACTGGCTGCCTGAAGGGCAGCTCAGAAGGAGAAGTGGACACTTGCTCCTTCACCTACACAATTTCTGCTGCCTACTTTTCTTGCTGAGCTGAACTGCCCAAGATTTCCATCTCTAAGTACTTCTGGATGGTGAAACTGCAGCAACTGCAGAAAAACTGTCTTTGAGCAGGAAACTCTCAGTATTATAATCTCACCAGAGGCATTTTTTCCTGTGTCTGGGCTGAATTGTTGAGACTGTCATTTTATGGGCCATGTCTGAGAGACCTCCAAGAGTCCAGAATGTGACTGTTAGAAAACATTTGGAAGAGGGAGCATTTGGTACCAGAACTGCCAAGTCTGCACTGTCCAACAAATAACTCCTTGGTATCAGGTTCTGCCTTGACTGACTGTGAGCTAAACAGTCTGGAAATCCCATCCTGGCCTAATTTCCCTCCTCTTGCTTTCCACTGAGAGTTGAGGTGTTTAATTTAACAGCTGCCAGATCTGGACACATGGAGACCAAGTCAAGGCACTCCAATAAAGGATTCTCAAATTGATGACTCAATTCTTTTACTTTGCTGGGAAAGCACTGGCTTGTGGGCTCTGCAATACCTAATCTTTTATTTATTTTGCTCATAGGACTAGTTCAGAGGGCACCCTTAATTGTTTTATTTCACTAGGAAAGCCCATTGAGTCCTTTCACTGATATTTAATCAATTTTCCATGTAATTGATGTATTTTAAATGACACATAAAATTTAGAGAAAATAACAGGCATTTTCTGTAATTAAAGAAAAATATATGTGCAACCAAAATAACATATTCCTTTGCCAGTTGCATCCTACTTAATGATAGTGTTGTATCATCTCAAGAGCCTAATGATTAGACAGCTCATTTAAGTGAACTCCAAGTAATCCAGTGGTCAGAGAAGGAATTTTTTATCCTCAGATACATCAAGGGCTCCTTAGGTTAAAAATATGGGAACAACTCTAAGCCACTGCCTCCACAAAGAAGAAACTTAAAATGGTGTTCTCCAATGAACTTATTAGTACATAAAAGAAGTTCTGAGGCTGCACTGAAAAACACTGCATTTCTTATGCTGAGGACTTTGCCTTATTTTATGTTGATAAAAAGATCAAGAGATTCTTGTTGTTTTTTTTTTTAATGCTCTAGGTTTACATACACTTAAATGCCATTATTAGATTGGAAGTGCTCAGCGACATCTTTTAAAATACCACTGAGAAGGAACAAATCCTTTTTTTCACATTAGCTATTTTTATTGATTGTTTTTTTTTTTTCCTAATGCTGGGCTGGCATAAGAGTCCTTAAAACAAACAAACAAAAAACCCCTCCACAACTGCAGACAATCACAGAATATCCCGAGCTGGAAGGGACCCACAATAACTCCTGACACTGATCTTAGTGGGGCAGAGCCAGGCCCAGAGATACCTTTCACTGAAGGCAGAAGGAATTGAGATCAATGCTTTTGGCTTCATGGCCCATTTCAGGGCTGATAAAGTTAGACCCTTGACAGGATGATTTTGAGATTAAATCATCCCCCTGGGTGTGATTCCCAGTTCTTTGGGCAAATTAGCTTAAAAGAGGTAACAAAGACCGGGACCTCAACTCGCCAGCAGAGCTCCACCTCCCCCTTCAGGTGCCACCGAATGCTACAGGGGTAGGAGAGGCTCACAAACTCTCCAGACTTTTTCTACACAGAGAACACGACTCCAGGAAGGGATTCTCAGCATCGTCTCAAACAGGCAAAGGTGGAAACATGGTGCAAAGTCCAACTCTCCAACCCCCCCCAGCAAGGCAGCACTAGATGGGCAAAAACATTGCACTGGACTGGAAGCCAGAGTTGTGCACAGGTATGAGGTATGAATGATGCTTGCTGGGAAGCTCTCAAATTATTGCAAAGAAACATGTTCTGGGCTATGATATGGAGTTCAGCAATGTCAAAGCAGCTCGCAAGGAATGTGTTTTGGAAAGGGATTTTCTTCAGCAGGAACACTTCATAAGAAAACAACAAAACAGCAACCAAAATAATCACATAACTCTACAGGTTACCCAAATCAGTAGTAACTAAAATGCTTTGCCATTCAAGCCAGTAAAGTTACTCACATGCTTAAGCATTTTGCAGGGCAGAATCCCCAATTTGTAACAGCAATTTCTTTTGAAGCATTAACACCAGACATGAAAATAATGAAGCTATGCTACCAAACAGAAAATATTCCAAATGGAAAATGTAGGTGAAAAGATCTGTAGTTTGTCTTGCTTTTACAACAACACAGAAAAGCTCTTACATGTATTTTTAGAATATCTAATGTGTTAGCATAACTTCTTTTAGAAAAGGCTACTAATGCTTATATTTGGGTTAGTGACAGAGAAGTCAGAAAAGCACATCTCCTAAATATTCTTTAATGTTAAAAAATTAGAAACAAATAGCCATTATGTATTAAAGTAATGTGCAAACTTAACAGGAAAGCCATCAAGCCACAACTGAAAAAAGCTGAAATCAGCCTCTCTACATTTTTCAAGGAAGGCATGACACTTGCTGAATGGCAAATTCTTATAATTTGGTACTTCATTGTTAAGAGGAATTAACTGTATAATGGGAACAGTCCTGACAAAAAATATATGACCAGGTTTTACTTTCCATTAACCCTTCCCAGCCTGGACATGTTAGTGTGCAAGTCCATGTCAAACGCTGAAGAGAAACTGTGCTTGAAGGTGTGTAAAGGTGTGCATGTGGGGGGCCTTTTGAGGGGATTAAGGTGCATTTCATGAAGTGCATGCTCTGACCCTTCCTGTGGCATTGGCACATGACATCCCCTGTGCCCTTCAGTGTTAGCATCTCACACCTTTCTCACTGGTCCCTCTGCTCAGGCTGCTTGGGAAGAGGGAGGGAGCGTTACTTGTTTTGCAGACAAAGTCCAATTGACAAAGTTATTGAAGCATTTGAAGGTGCAGATACGTGTCTGATGGACTTCAGAATCCTTTTTGTCCATCCTGTCAGGCACTATCTACACATTAAATCTTCAAGAGGCCTATGACAACGTGAGCCACAAGGTGACAGACAGGGTGTGTGGGTCTGGTTCTATTCCCACTTGCCACTGCCTGAGCTCTGCTCCAGCAGGGCTCCTCTGGATGAAGTGCAGGGCAGGTGGGAAGAGAAACAGAGGATATAGGAAACACCCGAGTTAAAACTTCTTCCACGCTGTCACAGGCAGCTCCAGCTGTGCCTCTAGTGCAGCTCTGGGTTCCCAATGTGCCAGGCTGGGAAGGGTTAAAAGCGGAACGGAGCCCCAAGCTTCGAACTAGACAATTCTTGGAAGTTTTCTTTCGTACCTTTCTTTGTCATCTTTACTAACAGATGAGTCTCGTTTATCTACATCTCTATCTCTGTCATGAGCTGCAGCAGATGAACTGCGCTCCAGCTCTCCTGGCTTCAGCCAGGGCGGAGGGGTCGGGAACGAAGGAGGAGTTCGGTGCAGTCGGTTCCAGGGCTCGTGAGGGTTGCTAAAGCTCTGCATACTGGGGCCATCCTTGTGGCCGAACACTGAGTTGGGTGCTGAAATGGTGAAGTGGAAAACAAAAAGGTTTAAGAAAAAGGTATGCTCTAGTGAAGGTACTTACCAAAACAACTTTTACAGCAACTCAGAGTTAAAATGAATACATATTATTGGGAGCTGGAAAAGGAAAGGAGATTAACAGAGATTCATTAGAGGGTCTCGTTCCTAAAAAATGGGCAGGCATCTGACAGCTCTTTTAATTGGAAAGGGGAATGCTGTGGATAAAATTGAGTGGGGATGAAGGAGGAAGATAAAAGTGGCAATGATCATTATTCCACATATTTTGGAGACATCAGGAAATGACCATTATACAGACTATAAATAATGGAACTTGTTGCATTTGATCCTGAACCAAAACAAAATAATACGTGACCAAAACCATGCCAGATCTGAAGGATGGAGAAAGAGAGTGATTTTTACAAGGATGATCTTTTGTGACTGCCCAAATCTAGAGAAATGTTGATGATCCTGGACTAATAAATGCAGGTCAGTGATCTTTTCCAGGCACATGGCCTGGATTACTGGTGAGAAAGGGAAAAAATAAAATCTTTCCATCCCCAGCTGGGGATGCTGCACACATTAACTGCTTCTGAACATGCAACAAACCCCTGGGAAATTTCACAACCACTCACAGGTTCTCTATTTTTAAATTTTTTTTTAAATAAACAATGTAATGGTGACATTTAGCACTCCGTTGAACCCAAACCATTAAGTAATTAATGGAAAATTATTTACTGATGAGTGAAAAAGGTCGCTTTGCAAATTCCCACCTCTTAGTGGTACGTGGTCTAATCAACTGGTAAAACAGACAGCAAACAGCCCCCATCACTCCATATTCTCCTGAGTTTCACAGCCAAAGAGGATTCAAAGCCAAAGGTACTCACTGACTGTGGGGTTCCCGAGCCCCCCGAAGGCGTTGCTGCCCACGGCGGTGAGGCCGCTGAAGGACGCCGGGCGGTTGAAGGGCTCTGCAAACCAACACAAACAGCTCAGGCTCCCTGCACGTTGGGAATTCTGCAAAGCATTCCTGTGCCATCCTACTGCATCCCAGTGCTGTGCCCAGCACTGGTGGAACATGGTCCTCCCACAGCACAGCACTGATTGTGAGGGGCTGGCACAGAAACGACGGGGGTTTGTTCCTGTGGTCCTGTCCCCTACTACAAAACCCTCCTCTTCAAAGAAAACCAAGAGGTTAAAATATACACAATACTGCATTTAAAACCTGCAAACATCTCCATTTTTACTTCCTTTTATTCCCTTCCAGTTCAATTCCATGGTTTTCTTCAGGAAACCTCCCTGGCTAGTAAGACTATTATTAACTCTGGCAACTGTGCTCCAAACACCCTCAGGCCATGTCTCCTAAACCAGAGCCAGGATATAAATAAAATGTCCCATTACACTGATGTGTTCTGCTGACCTGACAACTGTGGAATTCTCCTGGTATTTATTGCTAATAGTATATGAAAAACTAGTGTGGACTGAAAAATGCAGGAACAATTCTTTTAGTAGTTAACGCACACAGGCTATAGGAAAGTCATATAAGCAAATTCTCACTTTATTTTGGAGTAGCCTGACAATTTTGATGAAGCCACTTCTGATAAATAACAGCACAGAGAAAAGGAAGCCCAAACCCTTTCCTATAGGCAGCAGAGTGCAGAATGATAAACCTGCATTGTGTGTCTGCTTTGTCAATTTGTGACCCTCCCAAATTCTTCCCCATGCAAAATAAAATGCCAATTTAGTGTCTTGATCTCAGATGTTCCCACAAGGAGCAGAGCACCTTATTAAACAGCAGGGAGCTGGAAGGGAAATAACAACACCTGGTAACTTGGGTGGTTCTGGTTTTAAATGTGTATTAATCAATTTTCACTAACAGACACACCTGAGGCCAGATCACAAGATTTTAAGGATATATTTCCCACTCACTTTAATGGGAAACCAGACATCTAAGTAGGAGATAGGAAAAGAAACACCTCTGTGATCCAAAGCCCTGACCCTAAGGCATTTTTTTGGCTGGTTATAACATAAATCCAGTGAAACCCAAGCAGCCCTGTCACTCTGCATCTCTAAGGTCCAGATGCTTTCAGAAGTATTTCAAAACATGCTGTCAGTGACACTAGTAGGTGTATTTTGAACTGCTACCTGGGTAAAGGCTAAAATTAAATGGCTAAAATGTGCAATTTGTAAAGGCTGAGCAGGATACTCCACACAGGGAATCTGGAGTGGTCTCAGTGGCCAATGTCTGAGTCGAATTCACCAGTAGTTACAGAGAGAACCTACCTAAGTGAGCAGCTGGGTTGAGGAAGTTGCTGTGGTGAGGTGGTGGGCCAAAAGGGGTGCCAGCTGGATGCCCCCCACCTGCCAAAACAAAGCAAAAGGGGTGAATTCCCAGCAAAAGCTCAGAAAGGGACTTGCTGTGCTCTGGGCTTGACCTTTATTTCTTAATTCTCTCAGGTGAGCCCAGAGTGCTGTGATTGTGGGGGCTCTCAGTCAGGATCTCATGCAGATAGCAGCTGCTTTTCCAAACACAAATTCCCAGTTAAAGGGGTGGGAGGGAATGAATGTTTCAGTAAAGAAAAAAAAAAAAAAAGAAAACACACGTGAAATACAGTTTATTTCCAGTATCTCATCTCCAGGATGCACTGGACACCACTCTGTGAAGAAATGTTTCTCCATTTACTACCTGTAAATACCCCTGACATTTCAGCAGGTTGGGCCTTTGTTTTAAAAGCATGCAGAATAATTCTGAAATATTTATCAATGGACGAGAATAATTTTAAAATATTTATCAAATAGACTAATAGCCCCTGGCATGTCTTGCAGAGAGTTCATAAGCCAAAGCATATGGGAAATTCCTGGCAAGGATTAGCATTTTAATGAGCACGGAGCGAGGAGGGGATTTCACTGCTCAGGACTCACTGGCTGTGGAGAAGAGAGTCGAGGGCCGGGCCAGGTCATGGGGGTGGTGGATGGCTCCAAAAAGGCTGGGGCCTGGTGGCCTGCTCAGAAATTCTGGTTTCAGGCCGAAGTCCAGCTTGTGTGGATCCGACTGCATCTGTTTCTGAAAGGGAAAAACAGCATTTGCAAGAGACTGTCGGAAAACATAACAGCAAAAGGCACTTTCTGAATGATGTGGGTGTAGCAGTTCATTCATATTGATGTTTTAACAGGAACATCAGTTTTTGGGACCCCCAGCATGGGTGCACAGCTGTTTTCCTGGAAGGCAGATCTAAGGCAAAGAGGGAAAAGCTCCTGCATACTTCCTGCAAAGTTCACCCGTGTTTTCACATCTGCTCACATCCACCCTCCAGGGTGCTCAGCACAGACCTGCCCTCAACACAAAACTCTCTGAGGAGGCCTCAGACACTTGCTGAGCTGAAAGAATAGGTCAGTCTTATAAAAATAAATCAAGATGTTAGTTTGGCCCTGACCCCAGGTGGGCAGGAGTGTTAAAAGCTGGGTGACAGCCCGAGCTGTGCCAGGCAGAGCTGCCCCTCTGCCCAGGGGTCACACAGGGATGGCACAGGCCAGCCAAGGGACACCAGAGCCTTTAATTTAACTGTGAAGCTGCCACCAAGAAATGCAGTGTATCCCTCAGTGCCCCTCAGGCTGCAATTAGGGGCTAAAATGACCCAGGTGACAGATGAAGAGCGTTTGATCTAAGGAACTGCAGCCCCCTTTTGGCTGCTCACACTCCAAATCCAAGTGCTGCATGTCCCTGTCTTTATTTCCTTGTATGAGAATCAGCAGCCTCCATTCTGTGAGGAGAATTTGCTGAGGCAGATGGATTGTGAAGGATAAGTGGGTGAAGGATGGGCTCTTCTTTGTGCCACATCCTCATTTCAGTGGTGCCAACTTCAGTAGTTTTATAGAAGGAAGGAAGAGAAAAACTAAATTCCCAATGACCTGTGCTGCCAGAACTCCCTAAACACAGGTTGCTGATTAATTGTACAGGTCAGCTGAAAGGATTTACAAATGAGTAACACTGAACCAGGAGATCTTAACAGTAATTCTGGAACAAGCTATGCTTTATAAATCAGTATTTAATACTGTGCCAGCCCGGAGTATAGACTATTACAATGATATAAATATGCATATTAAAAAGTTATGGTCAAGTTAATGTGCATGCCTAGGAGCTGTTTTTCAAGTGCTACTAATGTGTCTATGTAGTTATGAGAACAAAAAAAAAAAAGAAAGAAGAAAGAGAAACAAAGGCATTATCTATGTTTGGAGATAGGGGCCTGCAAGGACACTGAAATGGCAAAGATGGCCAAATTAAGGTAATTTCTTTTAAGAAAGTACCACTGAAGTGCTTTAATAGTTAAAAGAAGTTCAGCAAATGCCTCAGCTGAAGCCTGCATGCCAGATTTTTATGCTGTGAACTCGTTTTATTCTTCTTTTTAACAACCAAGTTATAAACCCCTGACAGGCATTACTCAGAATAGCAAAAGCTTTAATTGCAGCCATATGAACAGTGCTGTTCTAAATAATGAACAAATCCCTGTCTGAACAGGAACAGGAGTATCATGGATGTGTTAAAAGATTTTTGAACGTGTTGGGTTACCTTAAAATAGCACCAGAAAAAACAGTCAGGTTTCTTTTATCCCCAGCTGCCGTTCAGGAGAGCACCTGGCTGCCAGTCCTTACAATGCATTTCAAGGCCAGAAAACGTGTAACACCTTCACTTGGTGCCCTCTAAAATCAATGTAATTGTCTGCCCTGATGTGAGCTGGGGCCATAAGGCCTTTCCTAGAAGAGAGAGGGCCAATTATGGAGCACAAATCCTCTCCTGAGCAGTGGTCAGTCTGAGGAGCAGTGTAAATGTGCCTTGTGCAGCCCTGGCTTTGCCTGTGGAACTCCCTGGGCGTGCACAAAGGTTACTCAGGTCTTGCTGCAGAGGCAAAGGCAGGCAAACAGCATCCACAGCTGCATGCAATTTTTCCTGAGGTCAGGAAGGTTGTGTTTTAAAGTTTCCCATCTTGCCTGCTCCTCCAGTGCCTGCTGCTGCCCTCTGCAAGCAATTACTGGGCCAGGTAGTTAGCGAGCCTTCCACACTTCTCAGCAGTCTGGTGGCACTGCAGCCAACAGGAAATCTCTGAGCAGGTCTGGTTTATTCCCTGCTCTGTGGTCAGGCAGCACCTTCAGCTTGTGCAGGACAAAAGGCACCTTCACAGCCATGGGTTAGAAGGAGAAATTGTCCTCTGTGAGCCTTCAGCCAGAGATTCCCCCCTCGTGGTCACACAGAGGGAGGACGTGGCTCCCCTGTCCTCCAGGAACACAAACCAACCTCCCTCACTTATTCTAGACCAGACCTCATTTTTTTGACTGAACTGAGATAGTGAAAGACATTTCTCAATTATTCTTGAAATGTTCATCATGCACAGCCTCAAAAAGCCAAGTAACATCCTGTCCTGTGCTTCTGGGCTTTATTCCTGGTTTTTTTTAACATGCAAGGTAGAAAAGGATTAGGCAAAAGAAATGGCTGCATGAAAATGGCATTTACTATGAGTTATAAATACAGTGGTATGACCTCTCTCTGAATATCAAATCAAGGAAGATTCAAAGGACATAGACAGCATGGGAATAATAATTTCATTTCAAGAAAATACCTTTTCAATAAAATAGAAAAAAAGGACATATAACTCTCTAGGTCTATAATCTTGTCTTTTTTGATAATGGGAAGATGAATGAAGATCACTAGCAGGGGAAACATAAGGAAGCAGAGAAGAGAGATATGTCTACTGCAGCAAATTAACCTGTCAACCTTGTTTAAAAGGGTTATTTTTAAACTCTATTAGCTGCAGGTTTTTGTAGCTGTTCAACATCTTCATATTCTTGTAGCAATACCTTATACACCTCAATTGCACACACAGACTGCAAAGTGCTGTGAGTTCCCTGGTAATTTTAGTTTCTAACACAAGTTGTTGACTCCTGAAGCACGAGCAGTGAAGAACAACCTTTCCTTACTTAGTGAAAAACTTCAGGAGCAACACAGGATTTTTCTGTGACAAGTAGAGTGAAAATACTATAAAGGGAAAGAAACTTCACAGAGTGCACGTGCAATGAAAATACAGTTGCAGTAGGAATAGAAACACCCTCACTTATCACATGAATACATTGCTTTTCTCTGACTTTTGTTTCAGGAGAGCCCAAACTGCCCATGGACCTTACCCCTGAAATCTCAAAGCTTCAAAAATAACTAAGGAAATACTTCCTTCCCTTAAGTTTCAGTGCAAGGAGAGAGTGTCTGATAACACATCACCTGAGGGGCTGTGTCTGCCTGAGCAGCCTGGACTCATCCAGGTCCAGCCTCCAGCCAGGAGATGGGCTGTGAAGGAAGAGTGAGGGGAGCTGTGCAGCCACACTGGGTAAAGCATCCCAGGGACAGGAGGAATCTCCCTGTGCCCCCTGCTGACCAGGAACAGGACTAAGAGGAACGGGATACACATGCTTTGCTTCTCCAGACTTAAAAAAAATCCCATCTCACGTTTGTGTCCTCAGCCACAAATAAAAGCACTGTTGCAGCTCTCAGGCACACCCATCTATCTCACCCTTCCCAGCTACAAACTGGTGGTTACTGCCCCAGATGTGGTGTCCTGGCTCCGGAGCATCCCAGACATTTCACTGGGATTGTACTTCAGGTGTTCCTTCTGATACACCAGCTCTCTGAATGGGAGGGTTGTGCTGTAATGCTGTGCATGGTGGATTTAACAAAGCATGGGCCATGGCATAGAACTGCTCAAGTGAGAGGCAAACTCTTCCTCTCACAGGTTTGCTCTGTGCCCTTCATCCAAGATTCAGGTGTGCCCCACCACTGACCTTGACTTTCTGTTGGTGGTGGTAGATCTGCCAGGCGATGTGGACGTGCATGGCACACCACTTCCCAGGTTTCTGGAAAAACAAAACACATGCATCAGTAACTTCCAAAAAACTGTGGTGCTTTATCCTAGTTCTAGAACCATTACCAACCCTTAGCCCAGCCCAGTTTGGTCCAGGGGATCCCCCCCCAAAGGGCTCCCTTCAATCCTCTTGGGAACCTAGAAATGAAAAACCTTTGTCCCTTGCTAAGAAGTTTTTCTTGGATATCCAGGAATGCTCCTGTTTTACACACTCCTGTAATCCTCTGATGCCACTGGCTGAGAATGCAGCTTGTGCTGCTGAGATCAGTGAAGCTGTGTCCCAGCCAGCAGCTGCTGCACAGCTGGATTGCTCACAACTGCACACTGAGGTCATTCCCACAAGTGCAGCTATGCCAGGACTGGCATTTCCACAGAAAGATGAAAATTAAAGCAGCTTAAAAGATCTCTCTGGTTTTCAAAATAAATCTGACTCCCTCATATAATTACTGGTCTGCACCTCCAAGACTTGAGCACATAAATGTACTGAAAACTCTGGAGGTCAGTCCATTCACTCTGTTTGGGAGGGTCTTTGCATCCTTCCTGTCACCACGGCTTTGAGTCCCGGGGAGGAGAGAGGGAAGAACCAGAGTGTTTGTTATGTTTCCTTGTTGATTTTGAACTCCATTTCCAGCACAGCTGGAAACTTTGACTGAAAAAGACTCATCAAGGATATACTTTTCCCAGTTTTGTTACTTCAAGGTCTGTAGTAACTACACAACTAATGATTTAAAAATTATCACAGGAATTCAAGAAGCTCCTTGAGCTACTTGTAAATTAAATGTTTCACAAACTATGGCACATGGTCTGCCTTCTATTTTTAGGTGTGTATCAACCAATAATTAAATCACAAAAAAATTAAACCCTCTCTCACACACATGCTCCCCTAAGCTCAAGCCTTTTGCTAATTCAAAACAACTGGCTGTGCCAGTGATTTCACAAGTTCACTTGGTTGGTTTGATCAAAATCTAAATCTTCTTCTTGATTACATTGAAAAATTAACAAGAAACCCTTTTGGATGACTGATAGATCGATCTTTAGATCCTTATTTCTAAAATATTTTGTGTTTGAAGCAGACTGTCTGTCCATACTGGACAGTAAATACCTGGGTGGGATGTACCATGCTGAATAACACTGACAACACCCAGTAAATAATAAAATGCAAAATCCTTCAGTGTGCAGTGAAATGACAGGGGATCACTGCCAGGATCTCTAGGATTTGGCTCAGGAAATGATGATAGAAGGATTATCAATATTTAACCTCAAGTGTTCGTGTGAGGGGCTGCATGAGAAGCAGAAAACTTCCAACTTTGAAACTCTGCATTGTCCTTGAGTGATCACAAGCTGAAGGACTGACCATCCTGCTCCCAAATGAGGGGTAAAACACCCCAGATGACACATGGCAGCACTGATTTGCAATTATTCTGCTGCTTCAACCCGGTGGGACCGAGCCAAGCTCGACAAACTGTAGCACAAGAAGATTTCTTACCCTCAACATGGGCCTGAATGGATCTGTCAACTGTGAAGAAGAAATGACAGCTTGGTTACATGCCTGTCACTCAAACAATTGCTCTAATTAACAAATTTGTATTGCTTCATTAAGAGACAAAATTAAAATGTTATCATTTTACTTTCAAATGAAGCCCTTTTGGATAATAATTAGTCCTTGGCCCCCGTCCCTGAGCGTGGCCCTCCCCCCTGGGCTGTTGTACCTGAGTGTTGACAAGCAACTCAGCAAGGCTCACAGAGAGCTCTGTCCTCTGGCATCAGCTTTAATTTGTTGATTTAATGCTACAAAAATGGCTGGTTAACTCTGCTGAAGAAAGCACAGATCTCTCCTTTGGGCAAACTTTTGTCATCTTTCCAAGCTGCTCGGCTCATGACCAGGCTGGAGAGTAGACAAGCTCCTTTTCCACAGGCTTGATCCCACAGATTGGGTGGGAAGGGGCTGGAATGGGGTGTCAGCCCCCACGCAGCAGTGTGTCCATCACCAGCCATGGCATCAGCTCCTTGCCTCGTGCCTCCAAACAGCCACCACTGACAGACTGCCCGAGGGGTTCTCTGCCACAAATGGGCTTTGCCTTAATTATTTTTTCACACTGCAACAGATGTTGGTAAACAGGGGCTGGGTCAAAACCCAGTTTTCTCATTACTACTTTTTACGTGGCCTGTTGGTTTTTTTGTTTTTGTTTTTGTTTTTTTTTAGTAGATTATTTTCTTATTCCCCTTTTTTTTGCTCATATTTCATCAGTTAATGCTGGAAAATAAATTCAATTTATTGGGTATTGCTCATTTGTTTTGGATTTTCTGTTTTGAAATGCAATCCTAAAGGAGATTTATAGGTGTAAAAGGTACTTAGCAGATGCAGTGATGGCACAATGAATCATCTTGAAATAATCGAAACTCAAGTTGAAAGGGAACATAAAGCTAAATGACTTCAGGATGGGAGGCTCTAGTTATCTCTGCAATTAGATACATAAACAAAAATGTGGCTCTTTTTGGTATAAAGCTCAACTACAGCACCAATTCTGAGCAAACCTAAGTACTGGAATTTGGCATAACCCAACGAAAACAGCTCTGCTGCACCTTAAAGTGAAGCCATAGCACAACATGGAATTTTAAGGAGAGCTCTTCATTGCTTTTGTCAGAGAGTTCTGCTAAAAATGTGTCTGTGTGATGTTTCTCATGGCAAACAACGTCCATGAATTCTCACACACAAACAACCCACGGGCAGAGAACAGAAGGAGGAGAAGAGACCAAGTGCTGAGGCAATAAATGCTGTTCACATCCCCTGGAACGCGGGAACCCAGAGGCACCAAGTGATCAATAAAGTGCATCTGTATTTCACTGGTGCAATCAATGCTACAGTAACCCAGGGAATAACTGCCATTACCCACATTAAAAACAATTACAGAGTACAAACACAAATCTTGGAGAGGTTTGTACAATTCTGTGCTGAATTGGGCTTTTATGCCTTGACCCCTGGGGCTGTGGGGGGAGAGCTGAGCGAGGAGAGAGCTCTGCCACTGCACAGGATCTGTTTGACATTCCTCCCATACAACCTCTCCAGTCCTCACTGACTGAAACAGCTCAGACAGCTTTAGTTTTAGGATATTAATTTGGACACTCGAGGTTTTCAGGAGGAATAGCTTTACTTGAGGAAAACAAAACATTTTTTACGGACCCGTGGATCTTTCTGGAGAAGGGTATGTGGGACCGTCCCGGGTCTGGCTGCAACATCAATAGGATTGGAAGTCTAGAAACACCACAGGGAGAGAGCATTAATGAGTGACACAATGCTTGAAAGCAACAGAACGTGAAAAATAATAGTTCTTTATCATTACCGCTGTCTAAGCAGCAGAGATAAACTTCTTAAAGAGGAAAGAAGAACCATTATAATCCACTTAATAGTATCTGTATTATCATCTCAATTTCCAAAGTTCCATTGTCCACCAACTTCCCATTATTTTAATCCAAAACACTGAGGGAACAGTGATTGTTTACACTGGAAAATCTTTCTAATATGGAAAACCTGATTAGGAACACATTTCTGACATGGAATCTAAAGCAGTGTTTGGAGGAGCTCGTGCTCTGCTGCTCATCACCAGTGCACTGAGCACACTGAGCACACTGAGCATCTCCTCAGTCACTGCCCAAGGGCCTCAGCTCCTTCCACAGGCACTGGCACCACACAGATACCAGGAAAAGTAACATCCAGTTGAAAAAACATGAAAGCTTTTCCCATGATTTGAATGTAAATAGTCAGTTAATAAAACAAAATGCAGCTCTGTGAAGAAAAAAAACCCCAAACAAAAAAAATCAACCCAGTTCCCCTACATTTAGACAGAGCTTCTTCCTAGGTTAAATGAAGAAAATAGAAATCAGCTGCAGCATAACTAACAATTAAGAACCAGAGTTGTTAACAGTCTGATTACCATACAGAGGAAGAATCCCACTAATGAACTGCAATTTACATATTCAGTCATTAGAGTGGATGGGCCAATTTAAGGGAGAAGGTGTCTCCTCTGCAGACATTCCAGGCCTGATTTCAGGCTTTAGTTGCAAAGGCCACAGACTGTGGTTTCCTCCCACTGATAAACAAAGAGTGACTCCACGAAAACAAAAGAAAACCCCCCTGAACTCCTCACATTTCTCTCTCCCAGCTATCACACACGAGGAGAGACAAATCAGTGTTCTTCACTGCGGTGGAGCTGGGAGCTAATTATGGAAATGAGTAAACAATAATGATCACCATTTCTAAAAATCCTGATTATTACATGACCTTTCATTAACGCACACTATCTCAGAACTAATTATATTGCTTCTAAAGTGAACTATGCCATTACATATATAATTTTTTTAGAAAATGTTTGTATGTGTCTGAACCTAATGAGAAATAACTTCTCTTCGAAGTAAATTTGGAAAAAGCCTGTTGTCCCCCAGGGAATTAGGCTGTAACTCAGACCTCATTGCTCCAGGATAGGAACCATATCCAACCCCTGACCTGCATCACACAGTGTGAGTAGTAAGAGGTAATTCCTGTCTTACCTTGGGTTGAAAAGCTCCTTGTAGGGATCCAAAGGGGCCAGTTGGAGGAATCATGGGAGGAATACCTGATACAGCTGGAGGATAGGAGTGAAACAGCTGGAACAGAAAGAGAAGAACATCACTGCCAGCACAGGACAGGCAGAGGAGCAACACACAGAAAACATTCCTGTGGAACAGCAGGAAAATGGTACATGGAGAAAACTGAGGAGCATCGGAGTGATCTCGTTGCAACAATGTTAGTTAAAGCATCAATGAGATGTTCACAGATGTCATGATGTTTAGAGCTTAAAAGCAGTTCCAAAATCAGGCAGCCAGAGCCTGTCCCTGCATTAGCCCAGCAGAGCGTGAGACAGACTTTGTTCCTTCAGTTATTCATTTTTAAATTGGAGAGTGGTTTTAAATGGTTTCAGTCTGTGAGTCGTTTCAAGAGAAAAGGCAGAATCCTGAGTTGAATAAGACTTGGAAATCTACTGTTTAAGTGGAAAAAACCCTTATGAGTTCTACGATATTGTATCATTAAAACTCCATTAGTACCTTGGGATTTTAATGGTATCTGTAGGAAATGAGCAAAATATGCACAATTCTTACTTCATTAGCCTGTCTGAGAGGATATCCTGCCACATCTAATATTAGCAGACAGACAATCTGATTTGTTAAAAATTAGTATTTAAACAAAATGTTAAGGCAGAACCCTCCAAAAATGTAGGGTAATGTTTTATAAGGAGAGTCTGCTAAGCACAAAAATGTGCACATCTCCACTGACCTCCCTGCCCCCAGTGAGCAGAGAATTTAGGCAAAAAACACAAAAGGCTGCTCTGTAGTAGTGCAGACAAACCCAAGGGAAACAAGCAGGTAAACTAAATAAATAAAGTCTTGGCTGTGAGGGTGGGGAGGCCCTGGCACAGGTTGCCCAGAGAAGCTGTGACTGCCCCATCCCTGGAAGTGTCCCAGGCCAGGCTGGACAGGGCTTGGAGCAACCTGGGCTGGTGGAAGGTGTTCCTGCCCATGGCAGGGGGTGGGACTAGGTGGGCTTTAAGGTCCCTTCCAACCCAAACCAGTCTGTGATAAACCACGTCATCCCAATGGGATCTTGTCTCCGTGCTCTGGCTGTGACCCTTTGCCTCATTGCTGTAACACAGAACTCATCCAATTCCATGGAAACGCTGGGATCACCCACCAAATTGCCTTCTGGTGGCAGTCAGGGATTCCAAGCATCACACTCCAAATACATTCTCCCAGTGAAAGCTCTGGATCTAACGGGATGGCTCCCAGCTCCACAGGGACTGCCACCCAAAATCCCACTGGGGCTCTCTGGCTGAGACAAACCCCTCCAAACACACCAGATCAAAGTCAAGCACTGTTTGCTACTTTTAAGATCAAATAAATGAGTTAATGGCCAATTGAACAGAAGCAGGACTGGGCAAAGTAAAAGACTGGACATGAAGGGCAGGAAAACACTGAAAAAATCCCATCCCAGAGTGAATCAGTATCACAAAGTTTTGATGGATTTGGTTATGCCAGGCATACACATGTGCTTTGCTTCATCCTTTTTCCTTCTATTAGCTCATCTTGCAAGGTCATTTATTCATATTATATTCACTGATCACTGAGAAAATATTTCAGTATTTCAGAGGTATCAGAAGATTTTCTCAGTTCAAAAGCATGGTATCAAACTTCTATTCAAGAGTGTTGCTGTTGTTGTTTTTAATTCCATTTAATTTGGACCTGCTCCATGCAGTGGTGCAAAAAACACTTTGAGATTTAGTTGATAGTGAATGGTAGGCATTTGAGAAATCATTAAGAGACACTTGTCCTCATTTACAATAACTTTTAATGAGTAAAATGTGCTTTAAATCCTCCAGTGTCTTCTGCATTTAATTCTCTGTGTAATGGACTAATTCCAAATGATGGGAAAAGACGTAATACTTTGTATTCTATTGGCTATGACTGATAATAAGGAATTATTTCCTTAGAGTTTTATAACAACTGGTAAGTTAATTAAATGTGACCTTTCCTCAAGGGCAGAATTATTAATAAAATATAAATATTATAACTTCATGATCTCTTTGTATCAGTTAAATTCCTCCAGCTTTCAGGATATATCTTTCATAGTCAGTGCTCCCTTTTTCCCCACTATCCCTTCTCTTTTGAGCAGCATTTCCCCTTTCCACAGCTCTCCTTGGCTGGATGTGTGCAATGCTAAACGAGACCTGGCTGGAGGTAAAAATGATGTTTCACTGTGCTAAAAGTGATTGTAAAATCAAAGATGCCCAGAAAGAAAACTGATTTCAACCTCAACATGAGTTTCTGTGTGAGCTGCATTCCCTGTCCTACAGGACATGGATTCTAACCCTCAAACAGACCTTGTTCTCCTGCAAAGTTCACCTGCACTCCCTGCCAGCTTTTTTAAGGTATTCGAATTCCTGGTGTGGATCTATAGTGGAAACTCTTGTCTTCAGGAAGAAAGTCTGTGGAAGTGCCACAGCTGGACACTATTCCTATTTCTCCTGCCCTATGGGGTGTGCTCTCACACCACTCAGGGGCTGCTTTTTGGAGCTGCAGCTGCTGAGGGAGCCCACAGAGCAGTTCCTGTCCCATGGGGGGATCACAAGGAGCAGTTCCTGTCCCATGGGGGGATCACAGGGGTCAGGCCCTGCTGGGGTTACACACAGATCATTCATCCAGTGTGACCTGGAACCACGGGATCTCCTGCTACCAGCTTGCCAAATATCCCACGGTGATCACTGTGCAACCCCTTCCCAAGGACAAACCTTTCCTGAAGGGAAGGCAGGGGAGGCACAAGGGAGCAGATCTGGGCCAAGGTCCACAGCACAGCTCTCTGGCTAATGGAGAACAGCCTTTCCTGACATTAGAGGGGGTGATGCCATGACCTTTACAATCCAGGTTGATAAGGTATTATGTCACTGAATTTGAAAAGCAGATACAGCTGGAGACTTCTACAATGTTTCCTGTATTACATGTGGACTTCTGTGCTTTATTTCTAAAATTCTTGTACCTATCTCCCAGGTCCATGTTCCTGCTTGGATCAACATTGATGACAATATATCTTCTGAATCCATGTAAAGCTCAGCAAATCCCAGGGCAATTTTGCAAACAGCAATGCAAATGAGCAGCATCACCCTTTATTAGCACAGGCTTAAATGTTTGCCCAATACTCCTCGAGCTCTGAGCCTGCAAACACTCTCTTACTGTTCAAGTTACTCAAATCAAGTGCCAGAAATTACCAGGCCTGTTCAGGTGTAGGCCAGGCTGTGAGCAGGGACTGTGGTTAATCAGGACAGCAGAAAGCACCACACCATGGTCTTAACCAGTTTTTTTTGCCCAGTTCCACTTCTAAGCAAAACCAACACATAAAGCCAAGTGCTTTGCAGATTTCTGAGTGCCGATGCAGTACTCCTTCTCTCATCAAAATATCCCTGTAGGATTTAGAAACTCTTGCCATATTCATTCAGGTACCTGCCTCTGCCAATAGGATGAAGGAAATGCAACCCAGATTTCAGCAGCAAATGAATCACCCTTAGGAGCAGAAGGTTTACACTTAACTGGAATATTAAAAATCGGTTCATCTCAATAAATAACATTTTTGGTAGCTTATATAAACACATCTAGTGCATAGCTGGATTCATGTTGCTGTCATCAAACAGAGCTTTCAAAACATAACAAGCCCAGTGGATCAGCTGTGCCTTTGAAATCTGAAGAATAAGACAGGTTTTCAGATTTTATCAAACAAAATATGATAGATTAGGAAAACTATTAGATTACCTATCCCTGGAGGGTTTGCATGATAGTTTGTCAGTTCATTTCAAGTTTCTTAGGAAAAATATCAGCCTAAGGGTTTGTGGCACAACCGAAACACCGTGATGGAATCACTGCTCCCTCCTGCTCCATGGAACAGTCAGCTCTTCTGTCTCATCTTTTCACATCAAACCTCTCCAAATGGTGTATGAGCAAGAGATCTTTTGATTGGAAAAGCTGATACTGCATCTTGATCAGAAACAAGCACCATGAGCGCAAGCCTTCAAAAGCCAAAGCAACCAAGGACGATAATGGTAAATCCTGGAGTGATGATTAGGGAGAGATTGGACACTGTGCCGTTGATTGAGTGGTGATCCCAACCCACCACAGAAAAGCAGTGAAGTCAGTTTGAAACAGCAATAAAACTCACACTGTGACGGTAGAATGGGTCAACTTTTGTAGGGTATTTGTCAAACTGCAAAGGGATCAAAGCACAAACTAGTTACTTGATATTTCCTTGCTTTACTTCTGTTGGCAAAATAGAAGACAAACTTCTCTATTGTTTGGCAACCAACAGAGAGGAAAAAATATGCAGAAAATTAAGTTTCCAATGAAACTGTTTGGGATTTTTCTTTCTTCAAAGTAAATCAAGAGACAGGAAAAGGGAAGAGGCACCAGAGTGCACACTCCTCGTCCCTCAGCTCCCATCCTTCACCTGAACCTACCGCTCATGGGCCTGTCACGGGGGAGGGACAGCCCTGCCTGTCCTGCCCAGCCACACCTGGGCAGCACAGGCCTCCTGCCCCACACCCTGGCAAATTCTTAACACTTTTTGTAATAAAGAATAGAGTTGTGCTCTACTTATCCTCACATTTCTGCCTGGGGTACGCACCATGGGCGGTGCTGGCGTCGGCATGATGGCAGTGGGTGGGATGGCGTGGGGGAAAGGCGTGAAGGTGTGCTGGTGTGTGTGTTGGTGTGTGTGCTGGTGCTGGTGCTGGTGCTGGTGGAACTCGGTCCTCAGGTAGGGCGGGGGGCCCAGGGAGGCCCCGCGGTCCGCGCTCTGCGAGGCCAAAAACCGCGTGTTTAGTTCCTGACGGAGGAGATCTTGTTCTGAAACACAAACAACAAAACAACCCCCCCGTGAGCTCTGGGGCTTTTCCACACCTTGTGCCACTTGTTCTGAAACACAAACAACAAAACAACCCCCCGTGAGCTCTGGGGCTTTTCCACGCCTTGTGCCACTTTGCTGTCTGTGGCATCAGTGCTGTACTTAAAACCCCGTACAGGGTGAGAAAGCTCCCTCGGTCTTCCCCAAAGGCCTGAGACATTTGAAAGTCTCCATTTCCCCTTCCTCACCAAGCCTGCTTTCACATTCCTCTGAGCACTACCCTGAGGGTTCTCCCTAAATTTGTATGGACATGAACACAGCCCTAAATAGGTGAGGAGGTACGAGTAGGCTGGAGGAGCAAACGAGTGGCTGCTGCTCATGTGAGTACCCTGATGTACAAACTGATGTTACTCAAATGTTGATATTCCTCCATTTTCTTCCCCCACATCCTTCTCAGTGACCTGGTGGGGCCCTGGCACAGGTTGCCCAGATGGCTGCTCCATCCCTGGAAGTGTCCAAGGGCAGGTTGCCCCCTTGGAGCAACGTGGGCCAGTGGAAGGTGTCCCTGCCCATGGCAGGGTGGTGGGTCCAGATTAACATCCTTCTAACCCAAACCATTCCATGATTCCATGATCTCCCCACAGTCGAGGTATAAAAGAGCACAGTTTTCTCCAGTGGTAAGAATCTCTACATCTCACCCCCCCACACCATCTTGCACAAACCCAGGCTCAGCACCACTGTGTTCACAGCCACTGCAGACCCTCTCCCCAGCCAGGGAAGCACCACTGGGCTCAGACCACAACTGCAGTGAAGACCTTCAGCAAAGGGGTCACAGATTCTGTGGGGGCACACAGTGGTTGTACCATGGGTTGAACAAAAGAGACATGAAAAAAGCACAGCCTTCCGAAAATAGTCATTCCCAGGGCAGACGAAAAGTCATTGGGTATGTCTGGGTGTTTTGGGGCTTTGATATCACTTAGAATCATCCAGCAGCAAGTACAGCCTCTCCCCACCCAACAGAGCACCAAAACCAGTTACTCAGACTAAAACCAGAGAACTGGTGTCCTACACTGCACGAGACCCTCCGGGGCCACCACCCCTCTGGCTCTTACCTGAGTAAGTGCTACCAGCGGGGTGTCCTGGAACCTGCAGTGTCCCTGACGTCAGTGGAGGTGGAGGGGGCAGAGCCGTGGGAGGGGCAAACATATTGGGGTGGGGGGGGGGTGCTGGGGGCTGCAGGGTGGGTGTGAAGGTGTGCAGGGGGCTGTGGCTGGGCAGGGACAGCGGGAACGGGGAGGCCGAGGGGTGGTGGGATATGTGGGGAGGAGGGGCCTGAGTCTTGGCAGGAGTGCTGCTGCTGCTGCTGCTGTTAACGAGAAGAAAAGCAATTAGGCTTTGCATGGAGGGGAGGAAAGCTCTGAACACAGACCCCCCCCCCCCAAACCCACACACAGCTCACATCAAACACAGCACGGATGGAACTCAAGGATTACAGATGCAGGTTACTATTCCCCGTCCCACCACTGTGATACTCCTTCCTCCCACCACCTGCTGGACCTTCCCTGGTATCTTTTACTTCTTTTGGTCTCTCCACACCAGCACTTGACACATATTCTCCCTCTCTGTAGGAGGTTGGTACTCTGTCTCCCGACAACACAGGGATGACACACAAAGGAGTAATCAGCCCTGTGCATTCATTACTTAATTATCCAGTCCTTTCTACATGACTGCTTCTGATTCATGTTTTCAGGCAAATGGAGCTCAAAATCAGTGATCACTGAATTAGTAAAAGTTTAATTTTTTTTTGCTATGAATTAGTAAGATGAAAGACTGCAGGAAATGTGGAACGAAGGTGAGAAGGCAACAAAAGATATGTGCTTATTGTATAGATAATGCCTCTCTCTACCCCCACAATATAAAGAGATAAGACGAGTCAACAAAATAACTATTTGTGATTACACTGGTTGCAATTTCTCAGGTTTCTTTTCCTACTGATGAGTATCTAAAATATATTCATGTAGGGCTGAATTCTACTTGTCTTTATTTCATGTAACGACATGTTCTGATTGCAGTGACTTTTAAAGGCAAGCAATACCAGCTTGGTTAAAAATAAATCCAAGTCTTAAACACCTCCATAGTCAAAACATGAAGCAACCATAGCGCTGGTTCACCAGGTCTTGAAGGTCACCATCTGCCTCAGATTTGGGGAATGACAACCTTGCTTAGAGCAGGGGAAACCTGAGGGTCCTGACTCCAGAGACATCACGGGTTTCTGTGAACGTGTTGTTTAATCTCACTGCTCATCTTTAGAGGGGCATAACAAAAGGTGAGGCTGATGAGAGCCAGGTGAGAGAAAAACACTGCAGACTGCCAGGTGTCAGCAGTGCAGGAAACACGAAGCTGTGCAGTCCCTGGTGTGTGACTGGTGGTGCTGGGCTGTGTGCAGCTGCACCGCACTCCCTGCTCTGGGGCACAGCAGTGCCTGGAGAATCAGATGTTTACAGGGATGGCAGGGTTAAAGAGTTACCCTTCAGAGAGCAGCCCAGCCTGCAGGAACTGCAATTTTCTTCCCCTCATGTATACTGTGTAAAATCCCCTCCAAAAGCCCAAGTACGACAGGCAGGAAAAGTAAAAGCTAATTTAAAAATACCCAGGGTTTTTGGGATCGCCAGGTCAGACACAGAGTGATCCTGGCTCATCTCAGGGTAGGAGCTGAGGTTAAATGCACTAAGTCCCCTCTGCTTCCCAGTGATGGGATGGGAGGTGCTGCCACTCATCTCCTTTAGTTAATTCCCCTCCACTCCACCCAGGCTCAGCCCAGCGTCCCACCCCAGCACGGCTGCAGAGACCCAGACCCACGTCTCCATCCTCCTACCTTAAGGTGTTGAGGCTCAAGCTGTTGCTGTTGTAGGCGGAGAGGGGCTGGGAGAGGCTCTGTGCGGCGGGATGGGGCTGCACGGCGGGCAGGGCCGCCTGGGCCGGCGGCAGCGGCGACTGCGGCCGCGGCGGGTGCTGCCCGGGGGGGTGCTGCCCGGGGGGGTGCTGCCCGGGGGGGTGCTGTCCGGGGGGGTGCTGTCCAGGGGGGTGCTGGGGAGCAGGGGCCCGGGAGGGCTCCTCGGGGGCCGGGGGCAGCGGCGCGGGCAGGGGCGGCGGGACGGGCAGCTCCGGGCGCGGAGCGGGCGCGGGGCTGGGGCAGCGGGCCTCGGGCGGCTCGGGGCGAGGCTGGGCCAGCGGCTGCGCAGCCTGAGGGCAAGGGTCTTTAGGTACCACAGGCTCAAGGACGGGGTCTTTGCTGCTGTCCTGGCTCTTCTCTTGGCTCCTTTCTAATCCTGATATTTTGGGGGCAGCCGAGCCCCGAGCACCAGGGTCGTCATTGTCAGCGGGCGGACCGGCTCCTAACTCCTTATCTGCAACAACACAGAGACAGAAAGGGTTACAACCAAGCTAGCAAAACCAGTCACACTCTGGGCAGTTCCATTTTGTTTTCATCAAGAACCACCCATGCCAACGCGAAACCAAATCAAACCCCTCTGCCTGTCTGATAACCCTCCTCAGAACAAACCCCCTGGCAGAGAAGAGAGACCCTGTTTAGTGCTGCTGTTCTCCATCGTTGTCACTCATCATCACTGACCCGCTGAGGGAACCAATGCCACCCGAGCTCTGGACCTCATCACAGAAACGTTAGGGTTGGAAAAGACCTACAAGATCATCACCCACCAACCCAGCACCACCACCATGTTCACCACTAACCATGTCCTCAAGGGCCACATCCACATGTTTCTTGAACACTTCCAGGGATGACGACTCCACCACTGCCCTGGGCAGCCTGTGCCAGTAGTGCCTGACCACCCTTTTAGTGAAGGAATTTTTCCCAATATCCAACCTAAACCTGCCCTGGCACAGCTGGAGGCCGTTCCCTCTCCTCCTGTCCCTTGTTCCCTGGGAGCAGAGCCCGACCCCCCCTGGCTCCCCCCTCCTGTCAGGGAGTTGCAGAGCCAGAAGGTCCCCCCTGAGCCTCCTTTTCTCCAGGCTGAGCCTCCTCAGCTCCCTCCAATGCTCAGACCCTTCAACATGACACAAGATCTAAACATTAAAACCCTGGCTCTTTTTGGTTGGCTGGTCAGGAATTACTTACTTCTATTTTCCAACTCTTTAATAATACTGATTAATTAATATTATTATAATTTTAACATTTTATACAGTGGAGTTTTGCTCACTGGGGCTCTACAGCAATTTCCCATTGGAATCACTCCCCAAACCGTCTGCCAAAGCATATCCGGTCCACGGCACCCCTTGGAATAAATTGAGGGAATGCTACTGACCCAAGACTGGAAGAGGTGATGTCTGAAGGAGGGGGTATCAGGAGCACCATTTAGGGCTGTATCCCACAATAATTTGGAACAGCTGAACCTACACCTTCAGCAAATATGGAAGTGCAGCATATGGAAAGCACAGAAGGTTTGAAGGGAGTTGGGACAAACTTATAATTAAAAAAGGATCCAGTGTTCTAAATAACCTTAAGACAGGAAAACTTTACTCCTTCTTCTGACAGTTTTAAGGGGTAAAATGACTAAATGCATAATAAAATAATACACATCCAGAGAAAATTGTTGACAGCTCCATTGTCCAAACCCCAAAGTAAAGGAGTGAAATAAAGAGGGAGGGGAGTGAACTCGCCCAGCCCATAGCCCAGGCACACGTTCTCCAACCATCACATCACTGGAGACAGCCTGGCAGCAATGTGTCACAAACACAGCATCATCTGGGTTTCATTTAGTTAAGACATCAAAACAAACCATGTCAGGCACTGTTACTGGTGCTTTACAGGCCCTGTGCAAAGGTAGCAGCAGAGGTTTTTCATAGTTTGTAGACAGGAGATAGGGAAAAGAGGGTAAAGAGAGTCAAAAGGGAGGTAAAGAGGATAACAAGGAAGAAGGAAAGGGGAAAAAAGTAAGCAGACTTATTTGATGAGGACCTACTTTAATCACTTCTGGAATATGTAACCTGTAACAGGCACAGAGGCTCCTCTACAAATTTGGATCAGAAGACTATGGAGGCAAGAGTGGGACTCCAGAGGGATAAAAATAATTACTGTGCCGTATGCTCAGGGTCTATCTCACTGCAATTAAAGTACAGGTTCTAAATAAAGGGACTTCCCTTGCATTAATTGTTTGGATCAATCCTGTTTGATCAAACAATTTTAGAAATTAGACAGAGAGTGATCTGCACATGTGTAAAGGCAGGTCCCCAAGGAGGAAAGAAGTGAACATGTTTGTTCAGGAATAGGTGGATCTATGTTCTCAGTCCTTACAGGTGTAAGAGTTAAAAGGTTTTGTTTTGGGGTTTGTTTTTTTTTTTTTTTTTAACACAATGGCATAATAATTAGGGCTTTGAGGGCTTAGCCTTGTCATTAGAAATCCCCCACTAGATGAATGAAGTAGGTGGTCTGGAAATCCTGCACAGGTGATACTTCCAAATCTACAGGGAACACCTTGCACTCAGTGCATTCATTGAATCCTTCCACTTGGTATTTTTATCCCCTCTCGTGTGGAACATTTATTCAGCACAGCTCTGTGCTGAGGATCTGCTCCTCATGCTCCTCCTCCCCAGGAGAAAAGGGTTGGGAATGCCACTGTCTCCTGGGGATCTTTTGCTGCTGCTCACATCTTCATTACACAGCACCCAAGTACCATTCCTGGGAGTCTGCACTTGGGAGATGCTCTTTGAAGTGAGATAATGTTGTTCCAAATGTCTCACACCAAATCTGCCCACGGTTTCTCCCTCTCCCTGTCTAACCCCCCTGCCCCTACACAGTCCCCCAAGACAGGGTCAGCTGTCCAGGAGTCTCTAACCCCAATAACCTAGGGCACATGTCCCTGCATGGGTGATAATTATGATGTATAAATCACAACTTTCTCATGCCACAGTATCTCTTTGGGGAGCTGAAATCTGCCCTCAGTGATGAACATTACCAGTTACAAGTACTTGGGCTCCCAGTTCTCCCAGCACTCACCGATGGAGCACATTTTGTCTCAATGAGTGGCATCCTCAAACTCCCCAGGGCTGCCCATGGCACTGCCCAGGCTCCCCAGGGCAGTGGGCACAGCCCCAAGGCTGCCAGAGCTCCAGGAGTGTTTGGAATGCTCTCTGGAACAGGGTGGGATTGTTGGGGTGCTTGTGCAGGACCAGGAGTTGCACTGGATGATCCTTGTGGGTCCCTCCAGCTCAGGATATTCTGTGATTCTGTGTTTCATAAGGAGGGTTTGAGTCTTCATCAACAGCACTTCAGGGTCACACAAACAAGATTAGGCTTTTTCTACCAGTACATCCTGACTGAGAGGCTCAGTGTGAGAGCTATGGGGAAAAAAAACCCTTTATGTCACTGTGACACAGACAAGCCAGCCTTCTGAGTTTGTTTATCATCACAGGAAAGTTCACAAGTGAACTTTCTTTGCTGGCAGCCTCCACGCTCTGTTTTGGATGAAGAGGAATCACTGCATCGTTATTCAGGAGAGCAGGAACTGTGATGTAACTTCCACGGCCTCCCCTTCCCCACTGGGTTGAACCTGCATGCAGCAGCAGTCAGTCTTTTACTGAAAAAGGAATAAAGCCATAATTTGATGCTGAGGACTGAGGAACATTGGCTTAGCTTGTCCCACCCACACAGGAGATGCAGCTTCCATTATCTTCCTTTCCTGTGCCATTTGATGTGTCTTAAATTTCAAATTCCTCTGTTTTTCACTTAGCACAGACAAACTGGGGATGTCTCAAGAGGAAGGACTCCCAGTAGCCTCCATGAAACCCTGCAGTGTGTGTGATTCTTACTGCATTGGCTCCATTACACTTCCCTCCAGAGCCATGGATTTGTATGATAAGCACACATTATATGCAGCTTTCCATCACTGCCTCTTTTCCTAGTGTGCAAACCAGTAAAATTTGCCCCAAACTCCACGTTCTGGCTCCTTTGGACCAGCTGGGTGGTCCCAAAGAGCTAGAGGAAGGCCAGGGGTGGCCAGTTGAGAACATCACAGCCACAATGATGTCCAGCTGTGCTTCTGCTGACAGAAAGGCCCCATCAGAATTTGCCAAATTAGAAAATCCCAGAGATTCACCAATACAGAACACTCTCAGTTTGCCTGGTCAGGTGTTGCTTGCAGTGGGTTCACCGTGTCTGGTTGCATGGGAGGTGCCAAGAGCCAGCACAGGGCATTCCATGATGAGAGCTGAGGCCCCTGGGCAGCCCCAGTGGCAGCCAAGGACGTGTGACCTGGGCATCCCTGCCCTGCCCTGCCAGGACCTGGGGAATGAAACCTCCTCAGGCAACGTCCTGCATGATGCTGTCAGCTCACAGTGGCCAAGCTTTCCTTCTGAACATGAAATCATCCAACTTTTCCATGTCCAGGTCTGCAGTGTCATCCAGAAACTAGGCTGTATCATATCCTGTCACTCCTCCCTCTGCCTGCATCAGGATTCAGCCTCTCCACGTCTGGCCTGGGAGCCTTCAGGCATCTTCAGAGAGCTTTTCAGAACCAGCACTAAATTTTTCACTTTCCTGAGAGGAAAGTTTTGAATTAAGCTCAAAGACCTTATTGCACAAGTAAGAAAATTACAGGAATTTTCAGTGTTTTGCAGCATTATCTCTGGGACTGAGCATTCAGCCTACCAAAGAAAGATTTTATGGCATTATTTAATTAAAAAATAGTATTAATATTCTTTTTCTACTTTGCTAAGCTGAACTCTTCTCTTGAGAACACTGCCTCTGCCTAACTCAAGTTTTCTGCAAACTTCTTAATGCAAGATTAAAACCACAGATCTTTCAAAAACAGAAAGACTCTTCTTCTCCAGCTTTACCACGGATAAGTGTGGAGTTGGTGCAAACTGTCACAGCAAATACAAGCCCCTAGAAGATCTCTGGAGTCATGGAGTGCAGGAAAGATCTACCCCACAGACCACCAGCCCTGGGAGGTT